CGCGGTTGGTTTCGTTATAGCCAGCAAACCGTTGAAACGAACCGAAAATGTCCTTTTTCGTCTGGCTATCCTACTGCTTGCTGCGCCACTCAAATATCTTTCATCAACGAAAACGTTTTTAAAAAGATTTATTTTTGAGAAAAACCAAATACAACGATGTTAATTGAATGAGTTCTGAATCGAGACTGACTGCAAAGTGCATTATACAAACCAAAGTAAAGAACAAATGAAATACAATACTGAAACTGATAAGAAAGGAACGTGGAGGCAAAAGTCAGTCAAGTTGTTCAGCATCTTCTTCTCTATATATAGACTGGTACATAACTTATATATATATATATATATATATATATATATATATATATATATATATATATATATATATATATATATATATAACAACAAGTAGCAAAATAATGGGCAAAATCCGCAAAAAGGAGGAACGTGGATTCGAGCAAAAAATAGGATAGGTAACCCGAGCGATACGTATTTCTGCTGGTTGGCTTCATCAGGCCCGAAGTGAATGCACATATGAAACTACAAAAGTAGATACACATGCCCACACATCCGGATACGGGTGTAACCTGAGGAAACGAAGTTGGAGGAAAAAAAAACGACACACGAAGTCCACAACAAGAGCCAACCTACACATTGTAGTATAAAATGGCTATACGACCTCGAATTTTCAAGGAGACGTCTAACCACCACCACGCGGCCGGTTATAGCCACTTGCTGTGGTACTTCAAGCCCAAAGGATCTACAAAGAGAATATGATCATGCGGAGAAAAGTATATAACAACAAGTAGGAAAATAATGGGGAAAATCCGCATTTCGGGCCTGATGAAGCCAACCAGCAGAAATACGTATCGCTCGGGTTACCTATCCTATTTTCTGCTCGAATCCACTTTCCTCCTTTTTGCGGATTTTGCCCATTATTTTCCTACTTGTTGTTATATACTTTTCTCCGCATGATCATATTCTCTTTATATATACGTAGTCATGCCATAAGTTCTGTCCCTCGTTTTCAAACAAGTGTAGACCTGTTAATACTTGTCCGATTGTTTACATTGTGGTGTCAGTTGATTAAGCGCTTTTCGGGTAATTACATATACCTCAGTTTGTATTGATCTCTCGAAGCATAACGATGGAGTGGGGCAAGGCAGAGAACCGTATTGCAGTGATAGCTTTACATAAGTGTAATCACAGTGCTAGTCAGATTTTTGAACTCTTACGCGGCCTTCAAATATCGCGTAAATATGTGTCTAGGACCATTCAGCGGTACAATGAGACGTCCTCTGTTGATGACAGGCCAAGAAGCGGAAGACCTCGTCAAGTAAGGACTCCAGCAGCCATCAAAGCCGTAAAAGCCAGGATTCAAAGGAATCCACTCCGGAAGCAGAAGATCCTATCCAGGGAAATGAAGATTCCTGTCCGGACGATGTCGCGCATCATTAAACAAGACCTAGGGCTAGGGGCTTACCGGAGACGTACGGGCCAGCGACTTACGGCCACCTTGCGACACATCAGGGCGACAAGATCCAAGAAGCTCTTGGAGAGGTACGCAGCTGGGGGATTCCGAAAGATTTTGTTCACGGATGAGAAAATCTTCACCATAGAAGAAAAATTCAACCGACAAAATGACAAAGTGTATGCAAGGAGTTCACAGGAAGCTTCGGAGATCATTCCGAGAGTTGAGAGAGGCCACCACCCTGCGTCAGTCATGGTTTGGTGGGGGGTGTCCTACGAAGGGGTCACTCAGCTCCATTTCTGTAAACAGGGCGTGAAAACAAAAGCGGCAAACTATCAGAGCGACATACTGGATCCTATCGTCAAGCCTTTAAGTGGTACATTGTTTGCCAACCAACACTGGGTCTACCAGCAGGATTCCGCCCCCGCTCACAAGGCTAAGAGTACGCAGCGCTGGCTGGAAAGCAATGTGCCAGAGTTCATTGCTGCGGAAGATTGGCCCTCAGGGAGTCCGGACCTCAATCCTTTAGACTACAAGTTGTGGGACCTGCTAGAGCAGTTGGCCTGCTCCAAAGCCCACCGTAATATCGAGTCCCTGAAAGCGGATTTGATCCGATCAGCGGCAGCTATTCCTTTGGAAGCTGTGCGTGCAGTGATAGATGAGTGGCCCGCGAGATTGAAGCAGTGTGTGAAGGCCAAGGGGGGACATTTTGAATAAAACTGTTTGATTATGAATTCTAAAAATGTTGTCGAATAAATAATATCTTTCATATAAATATATCTTATCTTGTTTCATTTTTATCATGAGATTATCATGGGACAGAACTTATGGCACGACTACGTAATATATAATAAAAATAAAGGTGTTGTTACCCAATGGTAATCTTTCAATTGTTGCTTTGTTAACTTCGCGCATTTATTCGCACATTGTTTATTTGGTCAGATGTGCTATTAGTTATAGGTCTAAGTGATTTCAAATATGTATTTTTTACGACTAGAGTGTATCTAAAATGTTTTTGAGAAATTAAATTGTTTTAGAAGAAAATAGTTTCGTCATGTTTAGTTTATAAAGGCATATTTTGGTACAAATCTTGAAGTGGGCCAACTGAAGTGGGAAGGGGCTCGTATACAGGGTGACTTCGAAGTTGAGTCATTTATTTTAACAGTGAGTAGATCTGATCAAAAGAAATGTTTTTTTCCTTTAACATTTTTTGTGGTAAAATTAAAGTAACAAAGTTATAGCCCTTTAGAAGTTTGAGTACCGCCCTGTCTCAATAATAATATTATGTGCTCGTGTTTGGGAACAACGGATATAATCCGCCTTATCGTTCATCGCATCGGAAACAAAAAAGCGAAAGAATTTGAAACGCTGATTACGATGTTTTTATTCAGTCAATGTGTCAGTCGGTAACGCGTGAGTGAATAGTGGTGTTTGCTGCGTGGCTCAGACGAAATAAAAAATGGCACATGTTTATGCGGATCGGTTTCCTAATCGATTGCAACCAACCCCTCGTGCCTTTGTTAATGTAGTACAACGGGCTCGTGAATCAGGTGACTTAAGACCTCGCAGGGGAGAGCATGCCGGTGCTCCAAGACCGCACGATCAAATACAGGTCCGCACTGAAATACTTGTCGGGAGGATACTTTATAAAACAAGGTAAACATTTTTTTTTATTTTTACACACATATTTTGGTTTTTCTTCCTTCTACAATCATTATCTGAAATTTAATGACTCAACTTCAAAGTCACCCTGTATATATATATATATAGAGAGAGAGAGAGAAAATAATCATGCGGATAAATGTATATAACAAAAAATAGGAAAATAATGGGCAAAATCCGCAAAAAGAAGGAAAGTGGATTCGAGCAGAAAATAGGATAGGTAACCCGAGCGATACGTATTTCTGCTGGTTGGCTTCATCAGGCCCGAAATGAATGCACATATTCAACTACAAAAGTATACTAAGTGACATATAAATCCGAACACCCAGTTTAAATGGTTTTATTTTAATAAAAGTTGGTGAATGTATTTATCTTACTGTAAATAACAAGTGAACAAATTTTCAGCCTTATCAGTTGGACATTCCGGTTTTTATACTGCTTTTTTTTAATTCACTAACGCTCTAAAAATGAATATTTCAGCCGCAGTAAAGAATCAACGTTGGCGGATTTTGGTTCTTGACATCCTTTACGATCGGTTACGATGCCTAGAGTACGGAGACCTGTACGATTTCGTCAACTTAGTGAGTTTGATAGGGGCCGTATAGTGGGACTTCGGGAAGCTGGACTTTCTTTTCGGGCAATTGCAGTTAGAGTGCAAAGAAGTGTAGACACTGTGGTTAGGTGTTGTCAGGCATGGCTTCGAGAAGTCTGTACGCAAAGAGCAAGGGGCACTGGACGCCGCCGTAGAACAACAGACCGTGAAGATCGCCGCCTAAGATTATTGGCCTTAAGGGACCGTTTCTCCACTACCAGGTCCATTGCAAATGAATGGTTTGCAGAACACGGAAGACCTATTGGCATGCGAAGTGTTTACCGACGAATGAGAAGTTTTGGCTTGTTTTCAAACCGGCCACACTGGGTCCTTTAACTCGAGAACACCGACGTAATCGCCTTGAGTGGTGCAGACAACGGTCACTCTGGGATCAGGAATGGAACAGTATTGTCTTTAGTGACGAGTCTCGATTTTGTTTAGGCATGCACGATGGTCGTGCCAGGGTTAGAAGGCGACGTGGTGAAAGGAGGCATCCACAGTTTTTTGTTGAAAGACATGTTCATCACATGTTGCAAGAGTTACAATAGTACTTCTTTCAACATAATGATGTCACATTGTTACCATGGCCACCAAGATCTCCCGACTTATCCCCAATTGAGCACGTGTGTGATATGATGGGTAGGAGATTGCTCAATTTGCAACGTCCTCCTCAGACTCTAGAAGCACTTCGAGAGTAGTTGGTGGTTGCCTGAAATGAGATACCACAGGAGGACATTGATCAGAAGCATGCCTAGGCGCGTTGGAGAATGCGTAGCACATCAGGGTGCATCCACACATTATTAAAGTTCAAAGTGCTTTAAAGCAGTGCAATCATTTTGAAATGTTTATCATTTTCTTATTATGCTTCATTTAAACTGGGTGTTCGGATTTATATGTCACTTAGTATAGATACACATGCTCATACATCCAGATACGGGTGTAACCTAAGGAAACAAAGATGGAGAGGGAAAAATCACACACGAAGTCCATAACAAGAGCCAACCTATATATACCTAAATATTTACGAGCCCCTTCCCACTTCAGTTGGCCTACTTCAAGATTTGTACCAAAATATGCCTTTATAAACTAAACATGATGAAACTATTTACTTCTAAAATAATTTATTTTCTCAAAAACATTTTAAATACATATTTGAAATCACTTAGACCTATAACTAATAGAACATCTGAACAAATAAACAATGTGCGAATAAATGCGCGAAGTTAACAAAGCAACAATTGACAGATTACCATCGGCTAATATCACCTTTATTTTTTATTACGGCTGAAATTCTTTGGGGCATAGTGTTGACCAATTTTTGGCAAAAATTTGGTATAAAGCAATCCCATATTTCTTGAAGCTTTTGTCTCAGTTCGGTGATTATACGAGCAGGATGTTGTCGTAGAACCTTTTTCATCTCGTGCCACAAAGTTTCAATAGGTGACAGATTTGGACTGCTAGAAACCCATTTCAAAAGTGGTACACTATTTTCTTCCATCCATTTTATAGCCTTTTTTGAGGTATGGCACGCTGCACCATCTTGCTGAAACGCAAAATCTTGGCCGGATGTCAAACATTCTTCCACCACTGGTAAAAGCGATTCTTCTAAAATTGCCAAATATTTGTTTGTATCCACATTTCCATCATGGATGCTGGAAATTTCACTTTTCTCTTCAGACAGTCAACATGGAATGCTTAATTTTTTTGCGAATAACTCTACTGCGACTGCCACCAACACAAACTTCGAATCGGGCCTCATCACTCCATTGTTTTGCACACCATTATTGAGGTGTCCATTGTCTATGTTCTTTGGCCCATTTTTCTTTTGTAGTGGAGTTAATAGTGGCTTTTCTTTGGCCTATAAGCAAGTTGTGCAACTTTAGGGTTTTGACTTCACTTTTTTTTATAAGAAAACTTACCTTGCAAGTGCTAAATCCCAGTTTGTGAGCCTCTCTATGAGTTGTGGACCTCGAAATTCTCCTTCCAACAGCGTCACTCCACAGAGCACTTAGTTGTAAATAATTGGCACGCCTGTTTTTCACGATTATTCTTCTTAATGCTCTTCGGTCGGCATTTGTGATATTACTTTTTTTCACGTATCGTGGCTTAATATTAACTGAACCAGTTACGTTATATCTTCTAACAATATTTCTCACACTGTAAAGCGATAAGTCTAACAAAGTTGCAATTTCTGAGTTTGATTTCCCAGAATTAAAAAATTTAATTATCAGTAACCGAATTTTCTCACTAATAACCTTTCCTCTACCCATTTTGATAACCTTAACTACCCAAAACTATAATCAAATCCAAGCGAATAACCAAAATTTCTGTGTTATGTGCCGCGGTTATAATATGGTTCAAGATGACACACGGGTTGATGACGTCAGTTACACGAATCGCTTGAACGCGTTGGTTTTAACCGCGGTTTTGTTGCAAGTTGTTTATTTTAGAAAAGCGCGTATATAATCTCTAAATATTTTTATTATCACTTCATAATCGGTGCTCTTTCGTCTACAACTGTATATGGAAAGTTTAAATAAGAAACCTTTCATAATATTCATGGTAGAAATGTTTTTTTCAGATTTTTTTTTAATGATGGAACCATGGCTTTGTAGCTATGATAACTTTGAATTCTCTAAATTTTTCCGCATGCCAAAGAAAACATTTATTGATTCAGCAGAAATGATGAAAAAAGAAATTAGCAAAACCGTATACAGGTGGATATCATCTAGTGAGTTTATATGGCTATATTTTAATATTCTTGTGGTATATGGCTACACAGGATACTTTGTTAAGCATAGGAACTACATTTAAAGTGTCCCCAACAACCGTAATGAGTATAACTAATAAGGTGCTCCACTTTATGGTTAAAACTGAAGTCAGCCTGTATCATTTTTCTCAAAAATGAAGCTGAAGTACAATAGCAATATCCAATACCCGGCAAAATTCTAACTTGTCACATTTCAAATAATAACCAGAAATATAAAACTACTCTTGAGTTGGGTAAATACCACAATTTTGCGGTGATAACTATGACATATAACAGCTGATTCGTGACGTCACGGATCTTATAACCAAACTGATAACTACACTCGCTTGAACGGATTGGTAAATACCAACCCAAAATGGTAAATACCATTTCCATTTGGTTATCCGCTTGAATTTGATTTATTTTAAACGTATTCTGACAGCTATTTTAAACCTATAACACCCTGCTACATTTTTATTATTTGTGTTTGATAAGGAAAAAACTAAGATTTCAATAGTTGGGCCAACTGAAGTGGGAAGGGGCTCGTAATTGATTCAACATTTTCAATCATATCACCATTTATCCTGAGTGATAGTATTTTCATTTAGGTATTTCCCTATTAGCATACATTTTGTTTTAGAATTATTTAATTTTAGTTTATTTACATTTAACCAATTTATGATTTTTGCCAAGTCAGAATTTAGAATTTTTAAAGCCCTGTCTATATGTAATTTCATCTGATATATAAATTAATGTATCATCTGCAAATATCTGAATTTTACAATTATCTAAAATATTACAAATGTCATTAATGTATAAAATAAATAGTAGGGGACCTAGTTTACTACCTTGAGGTACACCAACAGAAATATTTTTCGAGCTTGCTAATGAGGATCCAATTTTGGTTTCTTGACTTCTATCAATTAAGTGTAGCTTAGTAGAATTTTGAATACAGATCCTTTAAATCCGTAGTGATGCAATTTTGTAAGTAATTTATCCCTGTCAGTAGTCTCAAATGCCCGTTTGAAGTCCAAAAACACTGTTATTGTTTGTTTCCTATTATCCATACATCTCTTCCAGTCCTCTAAAACCATTTGTATTGCCGTTTCAGTTGAGTGTTTCTTCCTGAATCCAGCTTGAAATTTGTACAAAATTTAATTTCTTCAAAGACTTTCAACATCTGGCAGAACATTTATTGGCCGCATATTGGTGTACAACTCAGAATTCTTGACCTTCGAAGCATTAGTTTTTTTATTTTTTATTTTTTTTATTTGGCGTTAGAACTAGGAGTCCATGCAGCCAGTCACTAGGTTTCTTCTACATATATATTTCTAACACATTGACGCCACAACATCCATGGCTTCGGAATGTGATTTCCGAAGGCGAGATTCGAACTCGCGGCCCGGCCGGCCGGCTGATCAATAGCACGACACTCTGACCCACCCGGCCAACCGAGGTCCCCGAAGCATTAGTTATGGTAGAACACTTCAGTTTTGTTGGAAATTCGCCATATTCTAAACAGTACGAGGTAGTTTTAAATGACTTATTGTGTTTCGAAGTATTCTCCACGAAGATTAATACACAACTGCATGCGCTCGAACCAATTTTCGAAGCATTTAATACACTCGTTTGCTGGCAGATCCAAAACGGTAGTTTTGAATGCGTCAACTGCTTCTTCTGGTGACTGGAACCTTTGACCACGCAGTCTGTTTTTAATTTTCGGGAAAGTTAAGAAATCGTTAGGACTTAGATCGGGACTATATGGAGGATGGTCCAATAATTCCACGTTTTCTTCCGTTAAATACTGCCTTGTTTTTTGGGCTGCATTGTCTTGGTGGAGGATGATTCTTCTTTCGGGGTTGATTTTTCGAAGCTCGGTGATGACTGTTGGCATACAAATGGTGTTATACCAATCCACAGTAACAGTTCTTTGCTCATTAAGAGGAATTGTTGCAATATGACCCGCTTTTGACACAAATGTCGCGACCATCTTTTTCGAAACACTTCGAGAACGGATGACTTTTGTTGGCTTTTCTTCACCTTGGAACACCCAAACAGCCGACTATCGTTTATTTTCTGGTTCATAACAGTAAATCCACGACTCATCACCACTAACAATGCTGTACACATTTTTTGAGTTTCCGGAATTGAAACGGTCAAGCGTTTTTTGACACCAATTAACTCTGGCTGCTTTCTGCTCTTCAGTCAACAGGTGGGGTATCCAACGAGAAACTAATTTTCTTACTCCTAATTCTTCATTTAAAATTTTCCAAGGACGTCTCAATCTCGCGATATGCCACATGTTTATCTTCAATGATGAGTTTGCGCACAGCATCGAGGTTTTCCTGGGTGACTGCGGTTTTTGGTGCACCCACCCTGGGATCGTCGCTAAGACTCACCCGTCCACGTTTGAATTCTCCATACCTGTATTTTGCTCCGAAAGCTTGAGTACCTGGGCTTCAACAACATTTACTTAGCGCTCTTAACATCATATCTGTTTGAAAGGAAACAGTATATTTTTTATAATGGCTACATATAACATGTTTATGTCTCAACCAGTGGCGTACCACAGGGTTCGAATTTAGGACCACTGTTGTTCATATTGTTTGTGAATGATCTGTGTGAATCTTTGGCTTGTTCTAAGTTAATGTTCGCAGACGACCTTAAATTTTATTCATCCGTTTCATGCTTGGAAGACTGCGCATTTGTTCAAGGTCAAATAAATAAATTGCAAAGCTGGTGTGCCAAGAATCAACTTCATCTTAATATAAGTAAGTGTAAAGTAGTAACTTTTTCAAGGAAAACCAACCCCATGGTATATAATTATACAATGATCGAACATGTTCTTGAGGGCAGTGAAACTGTGAAAGACTTAGGTATCTACTTTGATCAACATCTAACCTTTAATGAGCATATGAATCAAATCATTTCAAGCGCTTACCGAACCTATGGCTTCGTTATCAGGAATTGTAAATGTTTTGACATTTTGACTTTGCAGACATTATACTTTAGCTTGGTTAGGTTTAAGCTTGAATTTGGATCTTTGATATGGAGTCCGATTTTCAAGCAGTATATTGATGTTGTTGATAAAAGAAAATAAATTTTTAAAATTTTCATGTTTTAAGATCGATGGCATATATCCTACTAGAGGTGCAGAATACAACATCCTTCTTCATAAATTTGGCATTCAATCCTTAGAACAACGGCGTCAGCAATCAGCAGTTATAGTTTTATATTAATTACTTCATAATCTAATAGACTGCCATACTTTCACAAATACAGTTTCTGGTACCACGACTAACATCAAGGTATAATGTTCCTTTTTTATGACAAAGAGCTCAAACAAAACTATTGTCGAAAGCGCCTGTCAACATGATGTGTGTGAATGCGAATAATATAGCCGATGTATGTGACATATTCTTATGTAGCATAGGTGAATTGAAGTGCAAATTGCGTGCTCACTTTGATTTATCGTACGTTGCTTATTTTTAAGCTGTAGCTATATTTATTTTGTGTTATTGATACATGAATTATTATTGTTTTTTTTTCTTTACAAGCTACCTCATGGTGATTTTTTTTTTTTTATAGTAGTTTGCTCTGTAAATGGTGTTAAACTGTTGGGCAATAAACGCTTATTATTATTATTATCATTATACCAACGGGAAATTGTCGACTGATGTGGTGCTTCGTTGCCGAAAACAGACAGTAACTCAGCAAGGCATTCTTGTTGCGATAATTGTCTTTGAAAGTTGTAATACATTATGGCGCGAAAATTTTCCATTTTTCTAATGACTTGGTGAAACTTAAAAATTCGCTGTAGTGAGAACACTGCACGTATTGTTGTGAAACTTTGAATTTAAGTTTACTAAAGAGTGAGGTTAAGATTCAGTACTGACGATCGATCCGCGCGACCTACTATGTTTCTATATGCAAAACTTAAAAGACATCGCTCGTAATTTATCAGGATCTTGTTTTGATTTGATTTAATTTTTGATATAATCTTCTCCAGACGATTAATGTTTACTGAGTGATGCATTATAATCTAATCTAACGGGGCATTGGTTGGTATCCCCGTCAATAATTAATCTTACAATGTTGTTGACACTTTCTATGCAATAGGTATTCATTCGATCTGCTATTATTTCTTCATCCGTTATTACCCCATCGTCGAACTTCATTTTAGATAATGTATGTCTTCTAATAGGCAACGTTTTCCACGTCTGTTTGCTATTATTTTTACTCTCAACAATTTTGGCATTGTAATATTTTTTCTTTCATCTCGTAGAACTGCTACAGATTGGTTTCTTGATTTTGTGTATTCTAGTCAATCATTTTCACTCCCAGTAATCATAAACTTTTTATAATTGTAGTCCCTTTCTAATTTAGAATCGTTGAACGTCTGCGAGAATCAAGTTGTTGGATTTTTCCTTTTATAAATTGTTGTCTTGACTATAGCTTCTTTCATGCAAACTTCAACATTATCCAATAGGCTTGTATAGTAGCTATCAACATCAACAAACATTTCAGTCATATCTTGCATTAAAAGAGCTTCTCGTAATTTTACATAGTTGATATTAGTAATTTCTTCAACTTTGTTAGCATCAAATATACTTTCAACTTTAAAATATATCCATGAATGATCACTGATCTTAGGAGTATGCATAACTTTTGCAATTAAATTTCTTCCGTTCGTTATTATCAAATCTATAATTGTTCTTGATTGATTTGTAATTCTAGTGTGATTTTTTGCCATAGTCCATAAAACTGAGTACCTATTTAAATTTCTTTGCGTAGAAGTCTCGATTATCAAAATGTATATTAAAATCACCCATATGTTCCGTGATGCAGTTTCGATAAAAATGTTTCTCACAGATATTATCGAGAAAATCTATAAATTTGTTAGATTTCCAGATAGAGATCACAAATGTGTAAATTATAATTGTGCTTAACATTCAATTCAACATTGATATGCCACCATTGGTACTCAATAGCTACAATTTCATGTACTCTAACTTCAATTCCACATAAAATGTATAATAATATACCACCTGTATGTCTGGAAATTGTGTTTGCTCTTACAATGTGATAGTCTTCAATTCCAATTTCTTCATCGTCAATATCCTCTGTGAGATGTGTTTTAGTTAAACAGAGCATCACCGGCTTCACTGACATCAAGTAATGTAAAACCACATCTTTTTTAGATAGAAAACCTTTGAATATTTATATGGTAAATATAGTTTGCATATTCTTTTACCGGTAATTGCTATGGTCTATCACTGTAATTTGGTGTATGTCAAAATTTGTTTTATATTTTGAATTAAATTCTTTACAATGTGGATAAGATCCTTCGTTTACTGGTATTTCACAGTTTTGGGGTTGATGTCCACTTCCACCACATTTCAAACAAATACTATATTCTTGGAGCAATTCTTTGCAGTATGGTGGAAACCGGCGCAATCTTAGATTATAATTTTTTAAAATTGTACGTACATCCATAGATATAAAAAGTACACCTTTCATAACTTCACTAAATGTATCTAGCTCCAATATAACCTAATATCGTTGTTTCATTTTTTTAATCATCACCACTTTTATTATTGAATTAGAACTAATAACGCTGTTTCTTTCTGTTATGTCCTTAATCAGTTCTTCTTTACCCATTTCTTCACTAAAACTGACGATTTTAATCTTAGGTAATTTCTTTCGACCCACGTTAACTTTATAATTTTGTCCATGTTTTTTTCCACTTCTATTTTCAATTTATAGATATCTTCGTTATTCTTACATACAATTTTCACAGCTCCATCTTCAAATCTGTAAGTTTTGTTATGGAAACATTCATTTTGGCGGGGTTAATATATTTGCTCAATACTTTCTTTGTTTAAAGGCAATTTTGATTTCCAGTAACTGGTTTTATATATTGTTAATACGAGGATTGTCCATAAAATAAGTTCCACGGAGGTTTTACATAAAGAAAAACAAATTTATTTGCCTTATAATGTACATTTTTGAAAAGTTCAGACTTTTTTCAATTTTCTTCATAGTCACCATTTCGTTCGATGCATTTTTGCTGTCGGTATACCCACTTCTTGAAACCGGAGTCGGAAGAACTCCGCCGTCTGGCCGCGTAGTAAGCCTAAAACCTCTTTATCGTCCTGGAATTGGGTTCCTCCTAAGTGTTCCTTCAACTTGGGGAAGAGATGGAAGTCACTGGGAGCAACGTCCGGGCTGTAGGAGGGTTGTGACACAGTTTCCCACCGAAATTCTTCGATGAGGGCAGTGGTTTGTCGGGAGGTATGTGGTCGAGCATTATCATGGTGCAAACGCACCCCTTTGGTTAGCATCCCTCTCCTTTTGTTCTGAATCGCACGTTGAAGTTTTTTTAAAGTCGCACAGTACCGGTCGGAATTGATTGTTGTACCACGAGGCATGAAATCGCACAATACGCCTTTCCGGGCCCAAAAGTTGCTAGCCATAAGTTTTCCGGCAGAAAGCGTTTGTTCAAACTTCCAGAGGTTTCGGCGAAGCAGGGTGCTTCCACTGCTTCGATTGCTGCTTTGTTTCCGGTGTGGTGTAGTGCACCCAGGTCATTATGGATGTCCATCGCCGAATTCTTCTTAGCGTTCAGAAAACGAATTACATACTGTACTTCGCAGCTGGCGGGAGACGCAAGCTTCAACTCCATCGCGCGCAACTGCTTAGCCAAGACTGAGCGTCGCAGCGACATGGCGTTGGTGGTGACAGAGTAAGAAGAAGAAGCTTCCCGAAGTGTTACCATATAGCGCCTAGAAGCGATACTTGCGACAGCAGCGCTCCGTGGAACTTATTTTACGGACAACCCTCGTATTATTGGATTCCTTAAATACAATTGTTGATTCTTCACTTGGATCAATATTTCGTTCATTTTTCACAACATCACTAAAAGAAGGGACTGCTGTAGAATACCCGCTTGTATTTTTTGTATCAAGTTAACAACTGAATGTTGCTGTCCTGTATTTTTCGCCATATCTGCATATTTGCAAGGCTTTGTCGTTTTCGTTGTATCTTGAATTTGTCTTTGTAATGATTCAATCTTTTCACATAATTCGTTGATCAGTTTTTCTTGAATTGAATTGTCTTTCAATTTGAGTATTTCTTTTAAACAAAAACCTTTCTCATCCAACATTTTCTAAGTTTCTACTTTATCGCTATCTTCCGCATCATTTGGCGTCTCCGTATCTATTATATCTTCTGGAAGAGACTTGACCTACTAAAGCTGACAAATGTCTGTCAAAAAGGTCTGCATCCAAAAACTCGGATAGTTCTTGCAGCGTGTTCTCCATCGCATCTCCCGTTTCACCAAATTTAGCTGGAACACTCTTTCTCTCCAATTAGCAACACCGAAAGCAATTGATTCCACTCGAAATCAGCAGCATCAGTTTGTTTCAGGATCAGAATCACACCTAGCTCCTAGCTTGTACCTAATTACTTATAAAAACATTTTTCTGAAGTTACTTTTAAACAACACTATAATTTAACAAGATGCTAGTGCTGTTAAAATAATTGTTTTGTTTAAATCACCAGAGACACAATTTATAACATTGAATATGCACAAACGAATAAAGTTCATGTTTTTTTTTTTGATGAAATATCTGTATAGCTTTAATTCACAAATAATTGCTCTAAAGGATATAAATCTGCCTTAGACTCTGCAACAAGCCTAATTGAGAGATCATTCTGAGATACATAAGCTACTAGATTATGGTGCATCTACTCTAAATTGTCATATTGTTATCATCATTTTCAGAGGCAGTATATGATAGAAGAAGTACAACGAAGACAAGAGATTTTAAAATCTGAAATAAGGCAGAGAAGAGAAAATATTAGGCAGAACTCTGAGAATGATGATGATTTTGACACCAGGTATGTAATAAGTACAATTTGTAACTTCTTACTTATATCTTGTAGTGTTTCAATTACATGTATAATAAAAATAACTATTCTTTTACAGAAGGCCCAATAGTTCAGCAGACAGCTGTGATGAACCTAATTGTGATCACAAAGGGATTGTTCTAATGGATTTCAGTAATAGAGAAATACAAAGGGGGTCATGCATAAGTAAGTAGCGGCAAGGGGGTGTAGGATAGCAGTTCATTATGTATCTACAGTATATTCAGATAAGAGATAGACCGGACATAAACAAACGCTGTAACATTCGGCAGGGACGTATTAAGAGTCACGCAGTACATATTTTAGATAGTAGATGCTGCTTTGCGTAACTTTGTAGTAAATTAGCACAATTCGATGTGTATACGATTGGTGATGGATATAGGATCATGTGGGGGTGGGGTAAGAAATATATAATTATGTAAATATACATAAGGGTTTCAAAATTTTCGCTTCGATTTCCAGCTTCGGATGCCGCCTGATGTTTGGTGAAATACAGTCGAATATAATCTCAAAATGGCGTTTAAATTAGCCTAAATTAAAAATAATCGTATATCTCTTAAAATTGCTTTTAGAATATTGATTAGTATATTTTTTGATTTCTAGGTAAATATGTAACCAAATTAAAACGTTCAAAACGTAAAAACATGTGCATGGTTGAACATTGTCAGAAGGTAGATTCTTGAATAGGTTTTGCCAAAATGGGTTCAAAAATGTCAATAATTAATTAAAAAATACAGTAGCTTTATAATTACTTATAACTTACCGAATTTGATGAACGACATCTTTTATTGGAAAGATGAGCTTGATGAGCTTTCATCATCGCTACTGCCTGAAGCACCAACGTCAATAATGAATGGCTCGACTTGTTCCTCTAAAATATTGTCCAGTTCCCACATTCTCTTTTCAACTTTGTCTTTCACGTGCTTAATACAGTTTTCCCATTTTTGCGCTGTAATTAATTCTAGTGCTTCTTTGAAAAGTCCTTTGAGGTCACAAAATTTAAAAGTTGTATTGTGCTTAGCTATATAATTTTTAACCTCTACCCATATGAGCTCAATGGGATTGAGCTCGCAATGGTATGGAGGTAAACGGAGCACAGTTTTATTTTGACTTGCTGCCATTTCGTCAATGGCGTATTTTTGATATTCCGCCTTGTGATCCTTGACAATTCTTAATAATTGTACATTCAGCATTGCTTCTTCAAAGTTGATATTTTTCGAGCGGAGCCAATTTTGAACATCAACTTTCCTTGAAGCCGTTGTTGGGACCTTCTCCATTCTTCGAGAATGATAAGGCGCATTATCCAACACACTTACTGCGTTTTCCTCTAAGTTCGGTAAAATTTTTGAAAACCACTGTTCAAACGATTCGCCATTCATTTCCTCGTGGTAATCTCTAGTTTTCTTAGACTCAAAGCACCACAGACCGTCAACAACAAATCCATCCTCACTGCCAATATGGCAGATAATGAGCCTTTTCCCTTTACCTGGAAATCGAAGTACTACCTGGTGTAGATTTATTTCAATAAGCGAACCTTTTTCAAATGTTTTCATCACATTCAGCGAAAAAACATTGAGACATGAGTATCAGATTGCTATAATTGGGATTATTTAGTCATATTGAAAGAAAGAATATTGAACGTCGTATGATTACTCAGCGCTTCACAATTTAATTTAAAGTTATAAACCTCTAAAAAATGAATGATCAGGAACCTGAAATACGCGCAAATATTAATATTAACAAATTATAACTTTATAAAGCTTAAAGTATGAATTAAAATGATTAGAAATATTAGGAACGGTACACAATATAAAACTTAGTAACTTTTTTTTAAGTTTATTATATTCGACATATTTTAAGATTATATTAAAAAATTATTGAAATATCGAAAACACATAAAAACATGGCTTAAAAAAGTTCTAACAAATGAAAATGATAATAAAACATCCACGCATTTTATCGAAAGTTATAAAAGTTTTGTTACTTGTAATATGTTTTATCTGCCCCCTGGAATTAATGTTTAGAACCTTGTTCCCAAGGTTTGAAAAACATCCGATTGTTGTCTATTACTCGTATTTACCTGCTGGATTTTTTAATCCGGTGGACAGTCCATCTAGAAAGCCCTCCTGGATGAAGTTACAGAATCATCAACCCATACTTTACTTGTAGTGTGTCCTGCGTTTACCCACGTTTCATCAAGGTAATAAATCTTCCTGTTTTGATTTCTATATTTCCCAATTTTTGTTAAATAATCCCTCCTCCATAGCACAATTTCTTCTCTATCCAGTAGTAAACTATTACGACCCCGTTTTTTCCATTTGAAATTTAAATGCTTCAGTAACGCATGGAAAGTTGATCGTTTGAAATTTGGCAACGTTGTATCTCCATTTACGTCCTGCAGTACTTTATCTATAGTAGGTATTTCATTCCTAAAGAAGAATTCATGCAGTTTCCTCCTAATCGCATGCTTATCAGCTTCATCCAATGATTTAACAATACTTTTGCGATGTTTACTGGTCATTGGCTCAGAAAAGGTGTGATTTTTTTTGTATTGTCTTGACACATTAAACACTGATGCGCGACACACCCCAACTTTGTGAGAAACCTTCACAACAATTTCTTTGATGGTTGATGCCTCGTTCTCCTCGCGCTCGATCTTATATATGTTCAAAATGACCTCTTTCATTTCTGCAATCAGGTGTCTTTTTTTAGAGCGTTTCCTAGGTGGACTACAGGAGTTTACAACTTCGTCGACAGTATCTGTACTACTGAGCATTTTGCGCAAGCAGTTGATAACAATAACAAGGTATAACAATAACAACGACAAACTCAACAACTTGATAAGATAACAAACGAAAACGTCCAAAGAAATATCAAATTGCAATGATGCACACGACAGACGTAACACGTCTGAACCTTAATGTGACTCTGCCTTGATATGACTGCTCTGCCGCTCGGCATAGGCATTTAATTGCGAATTGACCAATGAGGGCTCCTGTTTTACGTCGAGACGGCGGCGCTGGCGTGAAAATCACCCGAACCTTTTGTTTACATCCGGTCTATCTCCTATCTGAATATACTGTAGACAGTTAAATATTTGCCATCAAATTGTTTGGAATGTTTTAGTCGATTTTTTGTTATATCCTTACAATATTTTAAGAGTACAGGCATTACTTCCCATTGATTTTTCAAGGCATGTGACCTTTTGTCAGTAGTATCTTCAAAAAATTACACAAAATCCGCAATTTCAATCAATGATTCTGTTCACGGACGAAGCTAATTTTTCTCGAAATGCCATTCAGAATTTCCCCAATAATCATTTGTGGGCAGAAGAAAATCCCTATGCCGTAACCGAAACCCATTTGCAACACCAATTTTCGGTTAACGAATGGGCATGAATTATTAGCAACCACTTTATTGGCCCATTCTTCTTGCCGGGTCGACTTGACGGACAGACTTACCTCAATTTTCTTCAACAATAGTTGCATTTGCTCCTTGATGATGTTCCGTTAGTAATAAGAAACAATATGTGGTACATGCATGATGGTGCACCAGCGCATTTCAGGGTAGCGGTTCGTAATTATTTACAAACTATTTATCCAAATCGTTGGATTAGACACAGTGGGCCCCAAGAATAGCCACCAAGGTTCCCAGACCTCAACAGTTTAGATTTCTTTTTATGGGGCTATCTTAAGACACTAGTGTACACAAGCCCCCTTAACACTGTAGAGGAATTAAGAGAAAGAATAGTTGAAGCTTGTGATAGAATAAAAGACACTCCAGGCATATTTCAACGAGTGCGCAATTCCATGAGGAGGGCAGAAGCATGCATACTAAGTGAAGGGACCATTTTCAACAATTTTTGTAATCATTGCGTTGGTTTTAATGTGATGTTTATGTTGTTGTTGTTCATTATCCCTAATGTGTTTAATTTTTCCAATAAAATTAATAATTTTGTAAGTTAGACAATAGAACGGTTTTCATTTTTTTACTCAAAACAATTCAAGAGAGATCATTTGTTTTAAATTGAACGGGGAATTAAAAAAAATTATTTGGCAAAAAACCATTGGCGTACCACTTTTTCTTAAAAATATCGAAGTCAATACCCGTACGCACGGCACTGCTAAAGCTAAACATTATTTTTGCATTAAAAAATATGCAACTTTATTAACTTTCACTACTTACTAAATATCAGTGAAATATCTGAAGCGGTCCTGAAAATATTAATTAATTTCCATTTTTTTTCTACTTCAACACCCCGAGGTTTTGTAAGGAAACATTTTTGAACCATAGTTCCACCCTTAAATATTCGCATATCATTAAGGAACACCCTGTATATGGTCATGTGGACAAATTATGAACATTATTCATTGCCACCTCCGGGTTGTCTCCCTTTGAGGCTGGGGTAGTAAAATTTGCCTCTAGATTCATTTAATCAAAAGTGTGTTGTAAATCGTAACAATCATCGTAAGATGTTTGTTCAAAATCATTTTCGATAAACTAATTGGAAAAAGAGTCTTCAATCCTGGACCGTGTTGACCTCCTAACATTCGGCAGAGGGGTGGCGTCCTCGATGGATTGGCTTTCCCAAGCCAGCTGTTGACCTTTGGGCGTTTCGGCAATTGGAGACGCCGAAATTTTCGGCCTTCTCTTGGTTTTTCTCTCTCTGCTATTGGCCTCAGGCCCAAGCGGCGTGACCTCTTCTGACCTGGCAGACTTATTCGCCCTGGTCTCCTATTCTCCTTCGTGGGTGATCGTCGATTATCTCTCCCCTTGGTTGGCAGAAGTGGCGGATCTCTCACAAACACTTGCTACCGACCGGTGGTGGTGATCGATAATCGTTAGTGATTGGTGTTGGTCGATGCACTTCCAATAACTTTTCGAAGTAGGTACAGCTTCGAAATTTTAGCGCCACCGTAGTACTCCTTCCAACACACGCACCGTTCGAAGATCCCGGCTGAGCCCCCAATTATGTTTTCCAGGGGCGAACGAGAGTTTTTTTAAAAATCACTTTATTCTCTGTGAATCTAACAAAACACTCCTATATTGTATTGCTATATGATTACCAAAGACAAAGATACATTAGTTTTTATAAAGTTGCAAGAAAATATGCAAATAGACTCTTTTTGAAGAAGCATGGCGGACGTGTTAAGTTACAGGTACCGTGATAAACTCCAACGTCACCGGTAACGATGCTACAGCGATGCCAACTAACGTTATTATGATACAATATGATAATTATGTTATTTAGAGTGAGCCAAGGTACATAACTCATGGGATGAAGATTTATATGTTATAAGGAAAATTTTCTTATTCTTACAAAAGCTTTACACCGTGTGAAGATATCTCTCAACACTCTAGATACAATGTGATTTGCTTCGTATCAGATCAAGGGTATAATTATTGGTTTCAGGGCATTCATCAAGAAACCATATTAGCTTCAGTGGTATTGATACCGAGTCTGGTGATCTGGTCATAGTGGATGAATGGAACATTCCAGTTGGAAATAAAGATTTCACATACATGCAAAGGCAGATAAGCAGTATAGAACAGGAGATGAATTATCTAACCAGATTGAGGCATAGGAATCTCGTAAAATACTACAATATCAAATATTATTTTGAAGGAGATGTCTTGAAAGTGTTTGCTCTTAGAGAATTTGTTTATGGTAATTGTGCAATATATATAAATTATTTTATGCATAATCATGTTTATAAACAAAGTATAACATAAAATAATGATATTACTGAGAAACCTGGAACATATGCGACAATTCGCATGATATCTAACAGGTAGCCCGTGGTACTGAAACAAAAATATAATAGTGACTACTACTGATGGGTGTTGCTCTTTGATAACCCAACTGCAGAATGGATTATTTCCTTTTTTTCAAGATATGCGAAACGTCGGCGGTTTCAGGCGAATTGCATAGGTTTTTTAAGAATAATACTTTTACACCACCAAATAACAAAAGTACTTTATTTTATTGTTTAAATATGTCTTTTATATTCCAGGCTCGAACTGTTCGTCCTTATTTTTAAGCCCAAATGTGAAAGTTGATCTTGACCAGTTGAAGTACATTGCAAAAGGAACCTTGATAGCTTTAGATTACTTACATAGAAATAACGTTGTACATAAGGACATAAGAGATAGTTGCATTTATTTATCTGACTCAGGTAATTCACTAATTACTGTATTTATTTCTTCTTTCTTTTAGGAGTTTAAATTATGGGCGCATTCTAGAAGCGAAAACGACCCAGCACTAAATGACGGTGTCAGTTTGATATCAAAGATTTGTTAATGTCCGTCTGCTATCAAATATGATTTGATATAGATTTAAAAATAACATTAAACACTGCAGGGCTTTCGTATCTAGAATGCAACCAATGTCACCATTTGATACAAACTTTCTTGTAGGTCATATAAAAATTTCAAACTACAGTATTCATAGGAGATTATATGATTTGTTGTCTCAGACACATAATAACTACAGCAAAAAGACTGATATTTTGAAGTTTGGAGAGCTTTTATTATCATTGCTACAAGGGAATGTTATAAGCGATTTGAATGTCGAAGTTCCCACTTCACTACAATCAGATTTGTATGATTTTCTTACAAGGTAAACGAGTTGTTTTGAATTATATTGTCAATCAAAGGCACTAGACACCAAGGTCATCACCTTGAAATTACATGAGGTTGCTCAGAAACATGTGACAATGTGTGGGATGCTTATTTGAAATGGATTTTTTTGACTCCAGGAACTTCAAAACCCCCTCAATGGATGAAGAATACTGCGAATCAACATTGATGATACGATCTAAATACTGAGAGCTTATCTGCAAAAATACATTATTAATAATACAAAATTAATTATCCTCGGATCCCTTTTCTCACTTTTTTGTTTTAGATTGATCCTAAGCTTTCCCTGAGTTTGTGATATTTATTTTCTTTTTGATACATCAGATGTCTAAGTAAAGAAGAATCGACACGGTCAACGGCAGCCCAACTGTTGAATCACGTATTCTTCCAAAATAAACGAGTTGTACAGTTTACGCCTAAACAAGGAAATGAAGAAGTCGAGGTTCAGAGAAACACTTCCCCAGAGATTGTTTTGAATGAATTACAAAGCTTGAGCCAAATGTCTAGTGGGCAGTCCCGGATCAACAACGAATTTGAATTTCTCCAGCATCTTGGAAAAGGAGCTTATGGCGACGTAATAAAAGTAAATCGAATTTACTGAATCATCATCTATATACATTTTACTTTCTTGGATAATCTATCGCTTTATTATATTGAAACGTTTTCTTTAATTAATTCAACAATTCATGTGAATAGCTTAGTCATTGCTGTATTGATTTACACAATGACTGCTGGAGAACTATTATCGCAGATAGTAGTAGTAGAAAGATTTATTTAGCACGTTTGGCTACATGAACAGAATAATTGCAAAAAACAAATTTAAGCCATATGGTATAAATGCTGGATAAGCTATAATAATTGTAGATTTAACAAGTGATTCCTCAATTTTACTTTAAGCTTTGTCAAAGTTTTCTGGTCATTAAATGGAAGGCATCTTTATTTCTGGTATTATGTAAGTGATGGTCTGCATTTGATGATGTTAAATTAGTTAGACATGGGGGAAATATATTATTTTTTACTTTGTAAATGAATATTGTTACAAGATGTTTGATAAAAAATTTTACATGGTGCCATTTTATTTGCTAAGCATTTGTCTAATTATTGGAGTATATTTATCTTTATTCAGTATTATTCTCATACACTTGTTTTGTAAAATTTTTAGTCTTACAAAAATGGAATTATTTGCTAAATATAGAATAGTCGAACAGCCCTAGAAATTTGGAAGAAAGGTAGTATTATTTCTAAAGATTGCATTTTTTTATTATGGCAGGTAAATCGTTTATGTATAAAATAAGAAGAAGTGGTGCCAGGATATTGCCCTATTGAACACCCAACGTATTTTCAGTTTTTGATGTTATAGTGTCATTAACTTTTGTAACGTGCATCCTTTTAGACAAATAATTTTTAAACCAATCTAAAACACTTTCTGATACACCGTATGCCTTCAATTTACCTAACAAAATATCTCTATAATCGTTTCAAATCCCCTCTTCAAATCCAAACATACTGCTATGTCAACTTTTTCTGAGCTATGGCTCTTCTCCAATTCTCAGTAACCAACTAGAAAGCCGTTTCTGTGGGATATTTTTTGCGAAAGCCTGCTTGCGCATCCACTAAAATTTTGTTTTCTTCTTTAGACTGCAATAAATTGGTCATGCACTACTGACTAGAATAATTTTACAATGTTAGGTAACACATTTAATGGTCTCATATCGCTGCATCTTTTAGAATTTTTTATTTTGGGAACTGGTGTTATTATAGAGCATATCAAATTTTCAGGTAAAGAACTCCTTCTCAGTGAACAATTGATAAAATTTAATATAGTAAATGCCAAAATTTCGAAACAGTTTTTCAGCACGTGTTTAGTAGCGATTTTGGTACTGTTGTTGGTTTTTAAACTTTTTAGTTTTTTCCAAGATAATTCAATGATGCGCTATGAAATTTTTGGAAACTGATTTTCATATTGTCAGGCGCAGCATTTACAGTACCCACAATATCAACAATACTTTTCACAAAATATTAATTTAGTTTCTTTGCAATCACCAAGGAATTTGTTTCGGTACAGTTTTTCACAGTCATGCGGCTTCGAATTGATCAGTCTTTTCAACGTTTTCCACATCTTTACACTGTCGCACTTGTTATCAATTTGTTTATCGTAGTATTCCTTGTTTTCGTCTCTAATTACATACAAACATGTATTCCTAAAAGTTTTATATACCTCCCAGTCATCATTTGATTTTGTGAATGTACATTTGTATTGTTGTATTGTTTGTCTCTCAAATTTTAATATAATAATTTTTTTGTCACGATTTTCTTAATTTTCGTATCAGAAAAATTTCACAACGGCAGCATCGTCCAACTGTGATCACTAACTTTAGGTGTGTACAGATTTAATCCTTACAGATTGAAATTTACAGTTACAAGATCTAACAAAGTTAGGGGAAGTCAGAGTCAGGCGGGTCTGTCTGGTTGGCACATCGCGCGGCGGCATCATGGAAGAGCATAAGTGTGTAGTCGGGGCGGCTATGCCACCCCGAACCGACTGGGAACAAATCGATCAGTCGGAGGCTTTATGGACAGCATCGAGCATAAGTAGTGTAGTCGGGGCGGCAGCACCCCAAACGTGGGAACAAACTCGAGGCTAGGTCTTACCTTGTCATGCGGAGAAAAGTACTTTTTAACTCTCATCAAATAGCCTAGTTTTTTTTCCAGCAGCTGTCGCTATTGACGAGATGTGTTCGTAGCAGATCAAGTCCTCGGTGATCTGAACTTCGACCAGCCGAAATGAACGGCTCTTTGGCAGAACTCGGCCATCCATCGAAACCGGATGTGTGCTAGGACGCTTTATGTTCATCAACTATGTTTTGGAAGCATTAAACTGGACACGATTGTTGCATCCCCAAGCAGTGTGATATCTTCCAGGTCTCTCGTCAGAGTGGAAGTCGTCGCTAGTTTTCTTTTTCCAGCTCAGCGGCAGAGCTCGGCATGTCATCAGCGAAGCTGTGGATTAGGTTGATCGTGCAGGAAAGGAGGTCGTTGATATGTTATAGGAACAGTGTCGGACAAAAGACCGATCCCTAGGGAACACCCGCGTTGAAGTTGTGTGATGAAGAGAAGAACCCGTCAATTACGACGGATATCTTGCGGCTAGATAGAAAGTGTAGCCACCCATGCAAAGCTTTTCTTGGAGGCCATAGGATGGAAGTTTGTATAAGAGGGCAGCATGCAACAGCTGATCGAACGCTTTCGTGATATCAAGAGCAACAACATGAGCATCACCATAAGACTGGATGGGTTTACTCGTCAATTGCGTGACGTAAGCTAGGGGGTCCCCTGTGGATCGCTGGTGCCGGAAACCATACTGCCTGTCGCTAGTCAAGCTGTGACGTTTGAGGTAGTCCAGACGCTCACGATTTATGCACCTCTCCATCACCTTACTTACAACAGAAAGCAGAGCTATAGGCCTATAGTTGTGAGGATCGATCTTAGATCCTTTTCTTGGGATGGATTGGACATGAACAAATTTCCAGTTTTCTGGGAAGGTGCCGGATGCATAAGATATGTGGAAGAGACTTGAAAGAACTGGAGCGAGCTCCGCTGCACACCTCTTGAGTGCAATGGCAGGAATCAAGTCCGGACCAGAAGCCTTGTTGATTTTGAGCGACAAGAGCACCCGTCGTACGGTCTTATGCCTGAAAGTTACTTCTCGCATAATCAACGGCACTGGCGCGTTGAAGGGAACATCCATGGTGGAGGTGGCAGCAAAGATCTTAGCAAGCACTTCCGCCTTGGCCTTTGAGTCGGTTACGATCGTTCCATCCTGACACGTAAGTGGTGGAAGGCTACTGTGAGAAGTTCTTTTCAATCTGCTTGGCCAGCGTCCAGAAAAACCGACTGCCATTGCGCAGCGACATTACCCTGTGCCTAACTTTTATATCGTGCTGGTTTTTGGCATTGCGAACCGCTTCGTTATGTGAGTATTTGTTTCTGGACTAGACGTCGGATTGTCTGTTCTCTACAGTGAGATTTTGTAAGAAGGTTCTGTGTGCCTTGATCTTCTGCTGGCGAGCAGTATCACACGATTTGTTGAACCAGCTGTTGGGCCCTGGTTTAGGCACTTTCACTGTATGAGGGATGTATTCCTCCATTCCGACATCGATAATTTTGGTTATCGAAGAACAGACAGCCGGCGCATCCGCATCAGCGAAACAAACATCTCTCCAAAGAAAGGTAGAGAAAAAGTCTCTGAGCTACTGCCATGTGACGAGACGCGGGGGAAAAAAGTAGGGCTCATCACCAGCTGGGTCAGCCCTTTAGTAAGAGCGAACGCTTCAACTTCACGACCTGCTGCATCGGTCTGTTTGAGCCCAGCAAAAGCTCATTATGGGCATTGAAATCACCGAGGAGAAGTACCTCTAAGCAGGGTGATTGATGTTCAAGAAGTCGATCTTGACGGCGCGGTATTCAAGTAGGTCATCCCAGTTATGGTCCGAGGGAGAGCGATAAAGGCAGCAAATAAATTTGGGGGATGTTTTGGAGTTGAGACGAAGCCACAGAATGTTCTTCCAGTCTGATTCCAAAGAAACATCTCAACAGCGGGAAACCCTGTTGCGGACAAAAGCCACAACTCCCCCGTTCTTTCTCAGATTGGAGAGCTGGTAATTTGGGAAGTTAAGATCGTTAATCGGTGCAGACTCTGAGATTTTTGTTTCCGCCAAGAAAGTCATGGCGGGACGATTGGATTGCAAGTAGTGGTGAACAGCAAAAATGTTGCTGTTAATCCCGCAGATATTCGTGAAACAAATTTTATCTTCGATGTTGTTCCCTCGAGTCCACCCTCCACCCGGACATTCCGAGAGTGGAGGAGCTTACGTCCGGAATTCTTAGTACTCGAGGGATCCATCATCATTAATTTCTTTGTTGGGGAAGATAACCGACTGCGTAGCACCCTGGAAAAAGCTAGCGTCCCTAGACCGGCTGCCTTCGCCACGGCTTAAGGAGCCCGGTCTACCCATTGACAGCCGCCCACCTTGGAACAGACGCTGTCAAAATCCTTTCGCAGGATGATTCCCGCTATCGGGATTGGTTACCCGATTTTGATCAATCATCCCCGAGAGACCCTGACTACTTACCGGTAGTCGTCGGTCGTCATTTGTTCGTCAGTTATAACATATAATAACAACGGGGTGCATCACAGAGAAGGTGAGGGTGGCAGTTGTGTATGATAGGCTATATCTTGCGCGTCAATACACCTTACACCTCATTTAAGTTAAAATCACCTAAAAGTATTATATTGTTTCTAAAATGCCATATTTCTTCGCATTTCTCTTCAAAAAAATTAAAAATGTGTTCGGATCACTGTTTGATGAACAGTAAAGAGTACAAAGATCATAACGTTTCCAAATAATTTTAACTGTATATGTGCATACCAGTATGCATAGTCTAAAATTGTACAATCGAATAATTTTATCTGTATTTTGTGGTAAACATAAATCACTACACCTCCAGTATGTCTGGAGTTGGAGTTGCATCTGTAGGTTTTATAATTAGTAATTTGTAATTCACTATCAGTGATGTCTTCTGTAGCATGTATTTCGGTAAGTCATAATACCAGTGGTTTTCTCCATCTTAAAAACTGTTGAACTTCATCTATATTATTCAGAACACCTTGTATGTTCAAATGGTATATTGAGTTATATTCAGTACTTTCTGGTTTAGCCACGTCTTGCAAATCTAGGCTTAGTAGTTACTATTCATTTGTATAACTAATTTTTCCTCTGGCGCTTAATTTTCCTTTTATATACATACCTCACAATTTTTGTCAAATGGTCCATGATTAATAGGTAATCCTAGATGGAAATCCTGGTTTGCACTTTTACAATTTGGACAGCATTTGTACATTCCACTGATACTACAATTTTCTGCTGAATGTCCATCTAATCGACAAGTAATACATCTTCCTGATTTTGTGCAGTATTTTGCTGTGTGGTTAAACCAGGTACATTTGTAGCATCGCAAAACGTTGATGTACTCGAAAACAGAACAAACAGACACGTCGATAAAAATAACACCCTCATTCATAACACTTAAAGGTCACCGTGTCCACTTCTAAAATTTATTGATATTTAATTGTCATTTTCTTGACTATTATTACTCTCATATGTGAACTTTCTTGGAAAGATTCATTTTGTGATTTTAAAGTATTTATTAACTCGTTTGCTGCATATTCTTGACAAAATCCAATAATTTTGATTTTTTGTTTTTTACCTTATCTCTGAAGCTTTTACTGTATATGTGTGTGGCATTTTTTATGTAACTTCTTTATATGATGTTTAATCCTTTGACATAGCAAATATCAATGTAACAGAGATTTATCACACATGCTGCTTTCCTTTATCCGACCAAGGACAACCATGGTCGACAGGAACAACATCTCTGAATTTTGTCCTAAGTTTTACCAGGTTTACCCGTGATTCATTATTGCCAACGTTACAGAGTAATACAAGAGTGTCAGTTGCTGCTAGTATCACCCATGATACTATTGTCTTTTTGACGACTATCCATTACGGTAGAATAACAGCTGATACGCTACAGATCATTTTGTACTTTTTAACGACTCTTTTATTTAGAAAAATTCATTCCCATACAAAAACAAAACCGCTACAAGCACGTTTTACTAGATTTACACCCAACCCATTATTGAAAAGCTAAACATACCAATACAAAGATGTCACTTGTGTTTTTGCAATTTTTGGGTAATATTGTAGGTGAGGAACAAACTTGATGGAGGCTATTATGCTATAAAACGAATCCAATTAAATCCGAAGAATAAATCTTTAAATAAGAAAATAGTCAGGGAAGTTAAACTACTCTCGAGATTAAACCATGAGAACGTTGTGAGATATTATAATTCTTGGATTGAAACAACGACGATTAAAGAAGAAATTTGCACATCTACCGAAACATCAACTTGTAGTACAAACGATAGGGTTCCCGTGATAATTAGGAAAGATGAGGTATATTAGCAATTCTTTAAGCCTAATAACGTTATTTTATTGCACAAAAAGTTCTGTCGGCACTTTTTTAAGATATCATTTTTGTTTTCTGCAATCTTAGCTGGCATTTGACTAATGAGACATAACTGACAACGTAGTATACTATGAGTGGTCAGTTAGATCAAGCGAGTTGTTATCTAGTTGCAGTGGGTACTCAGCTTATTGCCGCCGATATTATGTTGCGATGTTCTTAATACAGTTAGTCGTCACCAGTAGAAAAGCAATTCTACTCCGCAAAGAATCCATGCTACATAGAAAACTTTGAAATCCACACTTAATATCATTTCTTTTTGAAATAAACTGAAGTGCTCAAGTATTTTGGAACCCATTTCTAATAGTGTAAATCATAGGAAGGTACGAGTTTAATATGATAATATACTTTATTATTCCAGTTCACAATAGATGACAACATAGAGGCACTTGCACCTTCTATAAAAAATGTAGAGGTATCTATAACGTATGACGGTAAATCTCAAGCTGCTTTTGATAGTTCCTCAGATAATTCAACTGACGATGAAGAAGAATGGGGTGTTGTGTAAGTTGTTACAGAAAGACAGCTGAAAATGACACCATTGTCTCAGTTGTCTCTATGCCAATTTAAATCAATCCATATTGAGCAATCGTACAATCTTAATACTTCATTAATGTCGTTTTGTAGGTTTAATGAAGATTCTGACTATGACATTGAGTTTGAACACAACACGGGCAGCGAGTCAAAGTCTTCTTCATCATCAGTTGACAATAAAGATTCGGAAGCAGTGGACATAACTTCTCCTGAAATCGTCAAACAGATCGATTTCATGTACATACAGATGGAATTTTGTGAGAAAAGCACACTAAGAACGGCAATTGACGATAATCTTTATCTGAATGAAGATAGAATGTGGAGGCTATTTAGAGAAATTGTTGAAGGTATGAGGACTTTCAGATATGTATAATACTTCTTTAAGGAGAGAGGTATGCACTTCACGCTTGTTTTGGTTGATCACAGCAATGTTTTTTTCGTACGGTGGTCGGTGACTGTGTCTGGGATCCGGATGTGTGAATTCCATCTATATAGCTTAGCAGAGTGAACGGAATTTCTGGATCTTGGACACGGTCACTGATAGGTTGGCGACTGATGTACCAACAGGACTTATGTTGAATTTATATGTATTGCTATTCTTTAGTGGTTGGACAACTTTCCGCGCTACTTGATTCAAACGATTTTTACTCATCTGCGATACTTTGAAAGTAGGTCTAAGCATTTATTTGTCTTAATATTGTCAGGGTTAGCGCACATACATCAACAAGGCATGATTCACAGAGACTTGAAGCCTGTCAATATATTCTTGGACTCAGAAGACCACGTGAAAATCGGAGACTTTGGCCTAGCGACCACGAATATAAAATCAAAGCAATTTGAACTTTCTAAGAGTGCGATGGAAATGGAAAAAGAAAATAATTTTGATGAAAGCAGGACAGGAAATATAGGGACAGCATTATACGCAGCTCCTGAAATAAGCACATCTTGCAAAGTGGTTTATAACCAGAAGGTTGACATTTATAGTCTGGGTAAGATATAAAATGAGAAGTTAGTATGTGCTTCTGATCAACTGTCCAACTATTAAAACTGTTCGCGAATTCGTGACTGGTAGAAAGTTGCCAGGTTTTCCCAATGTATCATGATGATCACTTCTCATAAAGTTGTCTTGTTGTTGCAAGTAGAAACACAAAATAGAATCTTCCAAATGCTTATAGTCGATAATTTCTAGGTATTATTTTATTTGAAATGTGCTACAAACCACTGACTACTTCAATGGAACGAATAAAAATTTTAACTAAATCGAGATTACCTGAAATAGTTCTTCCTGAAGAATTTGCAAATAAAAAGAACGAGCGGCAAGTGTTTTTGATAAAGTAAGTACACTTGTTTTTTTTTTCATGCATTATCGCTAGACGTATGATTTCGAAAAATGTTGATACACAAGAGCGCAAATTATTCACTTCTGTCTATCTAATCTGATGTTCTTCTGAATGTGTAATAGTATAAATAATAATTCCTATGCGCCGCCTCTAACCCACTTGCAATAAAACTACATTTAATTTATATACTTACTGGCAAAAACTTTGTAAAACCAGTCCTCTGCGGCAAATACCACATGTCGTTCATAATTGTATTTACTTCCCGCGCCTACTGGCTAGAGAGTAGTGTAATCGCGAAAAATGTTGAAAATGAGACATTATGTTTTTTGGATGTTAAATCACAAAAAACTTATTTCCATCGATCTGTTTGTCTGTTGGTCTGTATCTGTCCGTTAATCCTTGGCCTATAACTTTGAAAGTACTGCTCAGATCTGGAGGAAATTTGTAATCAGGATTACTGCTAGACCAAAGACGAAAAAGCTTTGCAGTTTTTGAAAACCAGTCCAGTGGCGGAGAAAAAGGCTAGAATGGAAAAAATTAAAATCGCTCAAAATTCGTTTTTTGATAATTTTAACGGTCCTGATCATTTTGGAGAAAGAATTAGGGGTAAACATTGGTGGTGGAGGGCTGTAGGGTAGGGTATATATCATTTTTTTTGATGTTATTATATGTATAGTATATATGTATATGTATGTATATGTATAGTATATGCTCAAAGTCTCGATAATTCTAGGCACCTATTAGACATATTTCACACATCATAGGTGTACATTTGCCCTTAAAACTGATAGATTAATGGAAATGGTTTTGATGCGCGGCGTCCATTCATCTGCTCTCTGGCTTCATCGGCGGGCGTGCCGGTCTTCGTGAGTGTCTTGGTATTACTGAAGTCAGGTCTCGGGAAGAGGCGTCAAGTACTACAGGAAAGAATGTTTATGGACTAATTGAATGAGCCTGTTTGACTGACTTGGGCCGTTTTACTTCTCTATTATACATGTTCGTAGCTAACTTTTTTCTTGGAGGGTCCAGCTGATGCTGAACATAATCGTGAACTGATGACAGCGTTGCGTGGGACGTGCAGCGTTAACCGACATGACGCCATTTTTCCATAATGTTTTGTTTTAATTTTGGAAATAGTGAAATAACTAACAACCAGAGCTGGCGAATCCTACTTAGTGTAGCAGCCTTAGCAATATGTCACCTGTTAACTCCTCCCAACGTTTCGCTTAAGGGCAGCTCGCAATTTTTAGATTAAGTTTACAGAATAGGTCCCTGTAACGCTACCATATTATGCACTTTTTTAATTCAGTCGATACTTCCACCGCTGTTGTTTTCACGCACACCTAAAACTTCGACGCAAACCTTTGACTATATCGTGAGAAACTGCACACCCTCCAACAGTCTCCGTAACATTATGATGAATTTCAGTGAGTGTAATATCTTTTTTTGCCGACATTTTATCACGACTCTTTGCACAAGATTACCTATATCTATTAAAGTCTTGTCACAAATGAACCGAAAGGCACATACAGTTTAATATAATTTTTAATAGCGTTGCCTACTTGGATCAGCTGTTCTATCAACAACATTCATCAAATAAGCATCTGCAATTGGGGTAAGAAGCTGAACATGAAGGTCAACCAAGCGCGGATCCATGTTGGGGGGGGATGGGGGTGAATCTAGTTTGACCACTGATATTTATGACTTTCGAATTTCTTTGATAAATTTGACGAAATACAGACTGGAAATATGTAATGGATAGAAACGAGAAAAAATCACCAGATTTGTGGTGAAAATCACCATATCTGACAACCCTGATCAATTTGTAAGCGCATCGATTATGGCGTGGAAATAAGAGGATTGCACAAGTTTGTTTGCCTATAAATTCAGCTTCACGAAAATATAAATAAAATAGTGACTCTGCGTTTGTCGGCTTGGTAGCACTGCATGTCGCTTAGCGCATTATTGGAAATTGAGCCTCATGTGTGTTAATTGAAAATTCACTTTCGGACAGGAATATAAGAAAAAATCTTTTCGCTCGCGCTGTTAACGCTGTGAGCAAATTTGATGAAAATACTCTTTGACCGTCAAAATCAGAAAAAAGCGGTTTCATTTGATTTAAAGGGCATGGTATCTGCTCAGTCGCCAGAAGATTATTTTCGGAGAGTTATGTACTTCCTAAGCTATGTATACATAGGTAACACTACTATAACTGACGCTAAATAGAAGTATAGAAAAAATATTTAGGGAAACATTCTTCGTTAAGTATGTGACTAGTCAATTTCAAAATATTTACTGTATTCATTTTTATTATTCCTTTACCTTCTGGTAGATGGCTGTTAAACCACGACATATCGAAACGACCGACTTCTCAAGAACTCTTGCTCTCCGAGCACATACCGCCTCCTGTCCTGGAAGAGAGAGAACTACAAGAATTAGTGAGACATACCTTGAACAATACGCAATTGAAGGGATACAAATATCTTATAGCATCTTGTTTTGAACAACCTGTCACTCCAGTACAAGATATCACTTATGATAAAGATCCATTTGCTTTAACCATCAGTAAGCCTGTACAGATCTATGACTATGTAAGAGGCATCTGTGAAAAGGTTTGTGTTGTTCATCTTGCATTCGTTACTCAGAAGTTATATCGAGTTACATGAAAAAAAAATGTAATTACAGATATTCAAGCAACATGGCGGTCAAAATTTATCTACCCCATTGTTGATGCCTAAAAGCAAGTTCTATGATCACCTAGATTCTTGTGTTAAACTAATGACCCATTCAGGTGGTATCGTAACTTTGCCTTATGATCTCAGGTAAGAAACATATATTTAAGTTTTATACGTCAGACATGTCAGCCCAAAAGTATTTGAGTATAAAATAGTCTTATTAACAAACCATGGGTACATATTTTTCATCTTGAGTACACAGAATTGTACAGATACTAGAAATGCCTCTAGTAAACCATGAGGTGACTACTGCTACCTAGTTTGCCAACACTGGTACACCCGAAAACATACATTAAAGATGCATAAAGGCCGTTACGCCTTCTGTCCAAACCGAAACACATTCCCATTCTAAGAACGCACGATGTCATCCACCATCATAGATATGTGAACAACAGCTCTGAATATGGTCCTGAGTTTGACCAGATTTACACCGGCAGGGGAATTACGTAACTTGAAAAGTGACATGTCGGTTTGTATGACATTAATCACTAACAGCTACCTTGTCAACAAGTTGACATTTTATCGGTTTTTTGACATTATACAGGGAAAACAAAATTTGTCTGATGGTTTGAGTTCAATGTGTATGAAAGAGAAGCGCGAGAAGCATGTATCAGCACAAGTTAGAAAGAGATAGAAGCCGACTGAAGAGAGAAGGTCATCACCACATTGCCAGCGACGGTGAAGCAGAAGTTCATGCCAATATGGTACACCAGAAAATGTCCGCACAGGCTTCTACAATAGGTCAGATTACTGTCAAATTCAAGGAGAAGGTTCGAATAATTTTAATTTAATACATATTTTATTTTCATTTTATAGACACATATGTTAGAAAGAGATAGAAGCTGGCTGAATAGCGAAGTTCATCACCAAAAAAGGCAAGCGCGGCTGGCCTAAGGGTAGACCCCGAAAGAGGGGTGCTCCAGCTCAAACCAAGCCAGATCAATTCAACGCAAGCACTCTGCTTCTTGCCTGATGCTTCAAACCCACAGTCTAGAGACAAGCAGATTGGAAGCGAACTTTACTGTGATGAACCTGTGATAATAGCTAGTGAAATTTCAATATTTGTGTAATTCTGTTTATTTATTCATTTTAATTTAATATTTGTTTACTTGTCCATTTATTTATATATATTTATTCAATATTTACTTTTAAATTATTTTCTAATTTTACAACCCGTATTTGGGATAGTTTCTTCATATTTCAATTGTAGGAGTTAAACTTATTAGTATAATATGCAAAACATAATGCAATGGAATTGCAATGTGTCTCATCACAGTAAACTTCGTGTGATGTTAGGAAGAACGATCCTTTCTGTATTGCATTACAGGAAACCCATTTCTGTCCAGAGACCTCTTTCTGTCTTAGAAACTACAATGATTACCGTAAAGATGTCATACCAGACCGCAGTGCGCGAGGTGGTGTGGAATTACTCGTAAAGCAGAATATCATAACGCAGGAGCAGAGACTGGATACAGAACTTCAAGCTGTCACGGTTCGCATCATAACGCCATTTGCTGCTACAGCAGCTTATACTTACTCGATCGCGATTGGCATTGATCAGCTGTATAGGCATTTTTTAGAGCTTCCAAGGCTAGTTATTTTGATGGGCGATTTTAACGCACACTCACCTTTTTCGGGATCTATGCGCAAAGGTACTCGGGGACAAACTATATAGGAATTCATTGACTCGTCGATCTTAGTTCTATTGAACTCAGGATCTCCTACTCACTTCGTAATCAGAACAGCTGGATCATCTGCTATAGATCTCTCACTATGCTCACCACAACTGGCGACCAGATTATCTTGGACGGTCCTGGATGATCTCAATTTTAGTGATCATCATAACAACGGATGCCCCTAAACTTTTCCATCCGTCACATAAAGGATGGTTGACTGAGAAAGCTGATTGGGATACATTTTTTGAGCACCCCCGGATCCCTAGCCTGCCTAGCAACGTTGTAGAATTATTTATTTCAATTTTGATGCGATGTTTTAAATTATTTTAGAATTATCTTTGATTTCCACCGATGCGATGGTGATAAAATCGACACATCCTGAGTTATTGTAACATTTTGCGACAGCGAGCGGTCGGAAAATGTAACAAATACCATTACGCAATACAAATTATCACTGCCTGCGTGTACGCAGGTGAAAACCATTTCGAAGCAGGATCACACGTTCCAATGAGAGCTCATCTATGATTATGGAGGTGGAAATCTTGCCTTGGAATATACAAGATGCGGTGTTATCAAACGGACCAATGTTGGAATGTTGTAGAATTTTTGGCGATCGTGACCTTTCATTTCGACCTAAAATGGAGCGCTCTTAGGACCGATCCGTAATCGATCCTAAACAGATACGACACAAGTCACAATTTAAAAATGTGTATGCTCAAAATAAAACCATTATGAGGGGGTAGAGAATAAACTAACGCATATTTTCATCAAGCATCCTAATTCAAGGAATTGGTGTAACATATTGTCAACGCGGCAGATTACCGCGTCAGCATTGCTAGGCAACGCGATGATGGACTTCGCTATTCAGCCGGCTTCTATCTCTTTCTAACATATGTGAATAGACACTTCCCTCTCGTACACATTGAACTCAAGCCGTCAGTAAAATTTGGTTGAAAGTGTATAGGTTTTTTACGTATAACCCTGCCAATTCATTATTGCCAACGTTACAGACCAATACAAAGGTGTCACTTGCTGATCAGCTGTTTACCTCAGTAGACGTCAAAACATAATGGATACTCGTGAAATGGGGTTAAGTGTCCACCGTGATATTATTGTTGGCTTACTGCAAATGTTGCTTAAACATAGCCTGTGTGCTTTTTGTCTCTGTCTATGATCAAGCGCACACGGCGCCGTTTCAAACTTGTTAGCAATCATCAGTATGGCGTACAGGTAGGTCTTGTCGTGAAGAGGTACAGCGGAAAGAAAGCAAGTGGATGTGGCCTCAGTAAGTAGCGCACGCTGAGGAGATTGCTACACCTAAAGTGCTAACATTGATAGATCCCGGTCCATACATTGAGGATGTTGAAAGGCATCTACATCTTCTGGCCAAATTGAAAAACAGTAACGCTCTAAGAACGTAAGAGGCCCACCATTAAAGAATAGACAACATATCAATTAGAGCGAACACCAAGTGTCCCCGCAATACTTTCCAGTTTTTAAGTAGCTTCTGCTTGTTTGCTTTCTTTTGTCTGTCTCCAAGACAAGACCTTTATGATAATGATGATTGCTAACAAGCATGGAACGACGTCGTTTACACTTGGTCATGATCACAGAAACGGAATACAAATAGATCTAGCTTAATCGTTTCATATAATGTATGCTACTATTGTTCTATGTCTTAGTTTGCGTATCATTCAAGTAACATTAAAAACGTGCTTTTAGGGTTCCCTTTGCAAGATATGTTGCTTGGAATGCAATTTCTCTACTAAGACGGTACTCCATAGAAAGAGTTTATAGAGAGAAAAAAGTATTTGGATTTCAACCCAGAGAATTGTACGAATGTGCGTTTGATATTGTTAGTCCTACTTCTGGTAGGTAATACCCATATATTTGATATCCTTCCGAAAATATTGCAGAGACTCTATAATAGTAGTATGAATACAGCTACACAGGGCCTGTATACTGTACACAAGATATTGTTGTCTCCGTGATTTTACTTAATACTGACAGAGCATTGGTATAGTTCATGTGTTCTGAATTGGAACATCTTTTATTATTTCTATTGTACCTGGAGCGTTCGTTGTCTGCGCCTCAAGTGTTAAAATACGCTTAAATTATGGTTCTATTCCGCTGAGTGCCACTTATACTAAAAACCCTAGTCTACTAATACAGTAATGACATCATTATAGATTAAAGACAAATGGATAAAAATGAGAAATTACCAAAAACCAGACGAATGGCAGCCCTAAGTTGCTTTCTGGTTAAAATAATGTTTCTGCAACCCTAATTAAATTAGTCGTTATAAGAGATGTATGTCGCACCGCCCATACATAACAAAGAAACTACCTGTGATGGAAAGTTGTTGATTTTTACTCTCATAATAGACGGGAATACCTCTTGTCTGCGAAATAATTGTAAAGTCTGGTTTTATTGCTGCAAGTTGTTCGAGGGGGTATTTAAAACATGGACGCATAAAATGGGTAGACCAATTTTTGTGGGAAAACTTTTTATTCGACAACAAAGAATGAGAAAACGTGTTTTTTGGGATATAACCGGAAGTGTTGGCAGGAAAGAATAAACTTTATTAAGATTTTTAGGTATTTATGAGACCTACAAAATGAGACCACACGTAAAAAGATCCGACTAATAGCAAAAAAGTTATGGCCGAAAACCGAGTCAAACTGCAGGTTTTGGCACTTGTTGGTAATGCGTCTGTGGTTTCTCGCAGATACTTGAAATTCTTTAAATTCGTAGGGTTCGTACTTCCAAATAACCACAACAAAATTGGACTAGATTGGTCAAGTAGTTTTTGGGAATTTCTAATTGTTTATCCCAAAACACCTGTTTTCCGGCCATCACTACTAGTTTGTTGAGCAATATTATACAGAATTCGTTCAAAGGACACTTTATAGAAAAATACACTAGTTTACCTTGCCGATATGAATCGCAAACCATTCCGGAAGATAAATGTTATTTTTATGCAAAAAATGATGGGTTACGTTTTTTCTTCTAAACAAATAGTAACGTATGTTTTTCGAATATCGTAGCGCATTTGTTCAATTACTCACAAATACGAAATGTTTGAGTTTGTTTAGAAGAAAAAAACGCAACCTTTGTTTTTCGCATAAAAATAACATTTATCTTTCGGAATTGTGTGTGATTCATATCGGCAAGGTAAACGCGTGTATCTCTTTAATGCTCTTTGAACGAACCCTGTATATTGCTCAATAAACTAGTAGTGATGGCCGGAAAACAGGTGTTTTGGGATAAGCAATTAGAGATTCTCAAAAAACTTCTTGAACAATATACTATAATTTTGTTGTTGTTATTTAGAAGTATAAATCCTACGGATTTGAAGAATCCTAAGTAGTTGCGTGAAATTATCGTTGCATTACCATCAAGTGCCAAAACCTGCATTTTGCCTCGTTTTTTGCTGTTAGTCATATCTTTTTACGTGTGCTCTCATTTTGTAAGTCTCCTAAATACCCAAAAATCTTATATGAAGAGTTTTTTCGTTTCTGTATATACCCACTTTATGCGTCCATGTTTTAAATACCCCCTTAAACAACTTGGACCAACGAAACCAGACTTTATAATTATTTCGGGGAAATTTGCTAATATGATTAAACTATGATTCCCAATAGAACAACTATACTTTTGAAGCCACCTGTCATACATAATATATTTGTAGCCACGTCACTGTGGCTTATGTAATGCTAGCATCGTACATTTTTATTCCACACAACACTAACATATTTTATTACATTTATATAAACATCTTTATGTATTGGAATAATAAGATTTTTGTTTTAGGAACGCTAATGTCAGATGCAGAACTCCTATATATAGGTTTTGAGATCATCAACGAATTGCCTGTGGTGAAGAATAAACATTTTGTCATACGATTGAACCATACTGCATTAATAACAGCAATACTGCTGCATTTTGGCATAAAGGATAAACACCAAGAAGTATTCAAAATGATTTCTGACGTAAAGGTGTCTTTGCTCATTGAATTATTTTACGCAAGTATGAAAATAACTACAGATTTTTAGGAAGGAAAAGTATCAAAATACAACATGCAGAACTATCTAATATCATTTGGTCTGCCGGACAACAGTATTCATCTCCTGATCAACTTACTCAACTCTGAATTAGAAATTTCTAAGTGCGTCAGCCATTTCCAAATGATCACTAAAAAGAAACAAAGTGAAGCCAGTCAGCTGGCTAGACAGGCTTTGCAAGATTTGAAATTAATGTATCAAAATGCTGTCGCATACGGTGTCACAGTAAGTCATTGCTTTATTTTTTTGTAAGAACGCAACGGGCACAAAACATTATTTTTACATATTAATAGGCTTCATTATACCTCAGATATCAAAAAACCTTTCTGGCTCTTTGAATAGGAGAAATGTTTACTTTCGGTTTCAGATTTTGGTAACGTCATTATTGTTTCTGGTGCAATTAATTTTGGCAACGGGTCAATAGACATCCTAGCTTGAGTCTTATGTATATGTTACTTAATCTTACTCTTCTCAAAACAGTGTATCGTAACCTTATGTGATGTGATTAGTTTCACATCGAATATAAAAATTTAAATAAGAATAATGCAGTGACAGAGATTGCCCTAATTGGCTCACTAATCCACTCAATAACTTCGCTCTAGGGTCACGGCACTGTCGCCCAGTTTATCGTCTGGTTGCCACCATGCCAGTTTTAGCGCCACTTTAGGTTAGCTTGTCGTTTGAGAGCATTAACTTGAGGACAGGTTGGATAACACACCAGCAACAAGGTAGAATAGTGGCATCAGCATCTTCAAGCGATTCCCGCTGCGATCTCTCAAATATGGTCACAAAAAAACAAACAGCATTCTTCAGCATTTCACTTCACTTGAATAATATATTGTCGTTTTCACGAGTATCCGATACGACATAATTCTGATGGATCCGTCAACGCCAGGTATACAGAGCCGTTTTGTTTTTCTTTTGTTCGCTACAATTAAAATGGCTGCTAAAGATCGTGACATTTCAAGTCTTGTAGGAATGAAATGAGAACAGTTTTTGACTTTGTTGATCATCTCTTCTTTTTAGATCTTGATTGATTGATATGATTTTGAAGAGCAATGAAACAGCCATATTTGAATTACATAACGTTACACTGATTACGGACAACTAACCAGAAGCACGTGCCTATATTATTTTTACTAAAATAGCAGCTACTGGAAAGGTGGAAAGGACAACCTTGACTGTTCTATTGACTTACCTTGTAATCAATAAACCCCAGGTGTACTATAATAATTTTCTAATGAACATTTTTCTATGTCTACTTCGTATATTTTATTGTCAAAATTTTTTCACTAAAAGTATCTACATATGTGAACAAAACAGCTCTTAATATACGGTCCTAAGTTTTGCCTGATTTACACCTGATTCAATATCGCCAACGTTACAGACTAATGCAAAAATGTCGCTGATCATCTAATCACCTCAGTAGACGTCAAAAAACGTTTTTGGATATGGATATTCGTGAAATAGGGTTTATAGAACGCGTAAATGGGACAATTACTAAAAATTATTCTTGTTTTTATATATATATATATATATATATATATTACAGTTCGAGATGGTTGTTTCTCCAGGATTAGTCTATAATATTCAGCAATATTCCGGACTTATTTTTCAATTTGTCTGTGAAATGAAAAAGAAAAATAGGCATAATACCATGGAAGTACTAGCTGCAGGAGGAAGGTAATGTGTTCTTTTCATATTGCATAACAGTTCTAGACATCTTTCCTGAAACTGTTCAAGCTAATTTGCAACGAAAAACTTCAGTTATTTTTTTGATAGTATCTAACTGAAACTAAAGACTGGACATAATGGAAATCCAACCGGACATACGATCTTGTTACGTAAGAAAAATCCTCATCCATTCATGACGATTGGGGTATTATCAAACAGTAAAATTGATATTCTCTTTTTAAAAAAGTCGATCGCTTCTCATACATACATTCAGAAATTTTGAGTTGTGTGTCATTTTGTGATTTATTTAATAGATAGATGGCGTGCAATATCTCATACTGTTTTAGGTATGATGCAATGATTTCATACTACCGAATTTTGGTAGAACAGGCTAACATGTTGAATAAAGGTGTTCAGCAGTCGGCAGTTGGCATATCATTCTCATTGGATAAACTTGTTCAAGCCATCCAAAAGGAGCAAAGCGATGATTTGCCGAAAATGGATCCTGTCGATGTAGTTGTTTGTTCTGTTGGTCTTAAACAGATGGTCAAAGAAAAAACAAAGGTATTGTCAAGCTGGTATACGCACGGTAAAATAAACGTGAGGCATGCGTGACGTATCAAATTGATCGAATCCTTGAGCGCAGACGCTAAATACGTATTAAGGAAAATTGAAGGAAAATATGCAACTGAAGTTGAAACCTAAAGAAATTTGAGAAACACCCGAATTTGAACATACCTTTAAACCATTTCAAAATATGATATATTCCTATTTTGTTTTTCAGTTGTGTAGATATAAAATAACTACAAAACACATTGAGCTTCTATTCTGGTACTCATCGGATTTTACCGATTAAGGAAAACTGATTGGAAGCGCAACCAAAGACTTCATGCACTAGCCTAGCTGCGATGATCTCGCGGAAAGTGTTCTGCAATATGTACTGATAGATTTAATTTGCCATATCTACAGCTTGGATTAGAATTGAACTAACCAGGACGATCAATAGATTTACTTCAGTACATAATACTGTAGCAGATTTATATAATTTGATAACTAGTTTCGTATAAGCAGTCGTTTCAGTTCGTTTTAACAAATATGTAACATATTGCATATATATATATATATATATATATATGTAGCGCGTACAATTCAAAAGATGTGGTTATATTTCACAAAAAACGGTGGAAAGTTCAAGCCTAATAGATACATACGCCTACTACACAATCAACATCGATTATCTACGATCAGGCGGCAAATAATTGTACTTTCTTTGTGGATAGGCTTTGTGGGCGTTAAATCATATTTTCCAACCCACTGACTCCACGGACGTTCCGCTGACACGACCGTACAATTTTTCTTCATATTTTTAATTTTCAAACCTTTACATCTCTTTTGGTCTGATGACCACGCTGGCTTTATGAGGGTTTTCCTGGATGTGAAATGGCAAAGTTTTAATAATTAATTATTCAGTAACTTTGTTAAATCCGTTTGTGGTGTTTGGTAAACATGCCCATGAATTTTAATAATTTCTCAAAAAGAACCGCAAAAATCAGAGCTTGAGTTAAAAGAGTATACTTTGCATAATTTGTCGATTTCCCCAAAGACGAGTTCTTCCTCTTATACAGTGCATTTCTTTAATGTCTCCCTCCCCTTTGATTTTTTGAACGGATTAATTCAAAAAATTAAAACTTGAGATAATGAAATTGATGCTTAGATACCATATTTTAGAGTAAAATTGAGAGATGAAAATGTCGAGATGGCAGCTGGGCGCCATCTTAGAAACAAATTATATGAAAACGGGGGTCTTGTGGCACATGATTTTGAAGCTCCTGATGAGTACTTTATAACCCTAGAATATAAAGTCAATACCTTTACCTTCAGCAAAATGGTGGTACATTTAGTAATTACTTGAACACAAACCCACTAACATGCATATATCTACAAATAATTGTAATTACCTGCCGTATCCACAGCAACAACGATAAAAACTTGTTTTGTTATTTTTGGTTGACAGTGACATGAATATCAGTACGAAAACAAACATCATTGTGCAGTTAAAATATTCTCATTTAGTTATCGGTTTTAGTGCTAGATACTGTTTGAACTATTCTTAAAATGGTCAATTCTCGTCCATTGGAAGAAAAAAGTCGTAGCGATTTTTATTTATGGCGCGTAACTTTCACGAGAACGAAAGGATTTTTAATGATCGTTTTCCGAATCGTCCTATCTGTAGAAAATATTTAAGGGAACTTGTATCTAAATTTACAGCAACTGGTAGTGTAAACAACAAAAAGCCCCCAGGTCATCCGACCATCCCGGAAGAAAAGCAAGTTCAAATAATTGGTGAGATCATAGTAAATCCCCAACAGTCTACTTCCTCCATCGCGAATGTATGTGAGGTTTGTCCTTCTACTGTATGGAGACTTTTAAGTATCACCCATACAAAATTCAAATGGTACATCAGCTAACTGAAGATGACCCTGATCGAAGAACAGAATTCTGCGAGACTATGACGGAAACCATTGCACGGTATCCTACCTATATCCAAAATATTTGTTTTAGTGATGAATGTACATTTTTTCTCAACGCATGTGCATAGACCAAATTGTCGTTATAGGAGTGGCACCAATCCTCACGTCTTCCGGGAAACTCATACTCAATCTCCACAAAAAATTAACGTTTGGGCTGGGATATTGGGAAATCATATTGTGGGGCCTCTATTCATCGAACAAACTTTAACCGAGGAACTGTATTTGGATATGCTGGAAAATAATATTGACCCCCTAATCACCGAAATCGTCGAAGCGACCACACTACTGCAGACAAGGAATTATTTAGTTAACAATTTCCCCGGTCGTTGGATTGGCCGTCGAGGTCCTGTGAAATGGCCAACTCGCTCGCGAGATTTGACACCTTTAGACTTTTTTATGGGGCATTTTGAATCAAAAGGTGTACGAAACTGAACCTGCTTCAATATTGGATATACGGCTGAGAATAACAAATATTGTTATAAAGTACTTGTCAGGGCTTCAAAATGATGTGCCACAAGACCCCCGTTTTCATATAATTTTTATTCCAAGATGGCGCCCAGTGGCCATCTTGACATTTTCATCTGACAATTTTACTCTAAAATATGGTATCCACGCACCAATTTCATTAGCTCAAGTTTAAATTTTTTCAATTGATCCGTACAAAAAATCAAAGGGGAGGGGGACATTAAAGAAAAGCACTGTATATGCGACATGATATATATAGGGTGGCCCATCCCTGTGTGGACGGAATATTACTCATAAACAAATACATTTTGGAAAAATCTATTTATGGCATGTTATACATTTTTTTCTAAAATATTGACAATTACAATTATTGACCTACATATCAAAGTTGTGATTTTTTAAATGGAATGCCTCAAATTTTATTCCACATTTGGATAAACCAATTCAAAAGAAGAAGATTGATGTAACATACTATTGGGTTTCGGTAATTAGCTACTGAGATGTAAAGTGTTTTGTTCAGAAAATTTGTTACATTTTCGAATTTTCATTTTTGCTCATACAGGGTGGTCAAAAACGCGAATTGTAATTTTTCTCAAAAATTTCCAATGCATCAGCCTGTATATTTGTGCAATTTTGGATTCAGTTTTTTATAAGCTTTTTTTGTATAAGGTTTTATTCAGATAAAATCACTAGATTTTGAGTTATTAAGCTTTTACTAGAAGAACACACCAAAATTAAGGAAAAAATCACATCATCCATGGAAACAAAAGACAAACAGTGGGCTAGTTCCATATTGCCACTAAGAGTACAGATTTGACGTAAAAACTAATAACAATCAGAACATTATATATCAGCTTCAAGCGTAATAGAGAAAAACAACTATAACAACAACATAAACACACAACTATCACTACTCAAGACCTAATCTACAAAAACTGCTCGAAAATAGCTCCTCAGTGTTGAATACACAGCCGTAGCGTGTGGATAAATGACCGTTGCACTTCCCTCAGCATGTGTTCCCTTATGTTCAGAAAAGCATCCTTAATCCTTTCCTTCATATTTTCCGGGGTAGATGGTGGATATCTATAAACCTCTTGCTTAACGTAGCCCTATAGAAAGAAGTCCATCGGTGTCATATCTGGTGATCTAGGAGGCCAAGATATAGGCCCATCACGACCGATCCAACGATTGTTACTAGAGGTGTCCAAATAGTTACGCAGACGATTATGATAATGCGCAGGTGCGCCGTCATGTTGGAAGTACATATGCATTCGAGTTTGCAGGCTCAAATCCTCCACAAGCAAAGGCAAATGCTCGATCAAAATAATTCATGTATTCTGTACCTGTTAATCTGTTGTCGAAGAAGAAAGGCCCGATATCTTGTCTGCCAGTAACTCCTCCCCAAACATCCAAGCTCCATTTATTTAGGAAATCTATTTGCCTAACCCAGTAGGGGTTTTCCGTCGCATAATAATGCATGTTATGCCTGTTGACCACACCTATGCTGTTAAAAGTTGCCTCATCGCTAAAAATACCCTTATCCAGGAAAGTAGTGTCTTCACTCACTTTATTTAGCATTATTCTACTAAACTCCATTCGAGCTTCGAAAACCTGATGCAATCATAGGTGATATGGATGGTACCTTTGCTTGTAATCCTTTGGACAGAAGTTCTGCATATATCAGTTTCTGCTCCAATTTGCCGTGCACTTAAATGTTGATTTTCCCGCAACTTTAATAGAACCTGCAGCTGATTCGCCTCATTGGTGACACTTTGATTATCTATACATTTTTTACTATATTCCACTGCTCCAGTTGATTCAAAACGTTCTCGCAGTGTGGAAAATGTTTCCGGCCTTGGATGTCGCATATTAGGGTACCGTTGCTTATAAATGCGAGATGCTAGGAAACTGTTTCTTTGGGCTTCGCCCAAAACGAACACCATTTTTATCATTTCTTCTTTAGAAAAATTCATTTTCCAACACGTTTTTATTATAATGCTCACAAAGCTAATTTTGACAGTTTGTAACTAATCAACAATTTATTTGTTTCCAAAGATGATGCGATATTTTAGGGAATTAAGCCGTTCCACAAAAGACGTGCTAATAGCCGTCAAAACCCTTATGTGTCTAGTATCAACAAAAAAAGCTTATAAAAAATTGAATCCAAACTTGCACAAATATACAGGGCGATGCATTTGACATTTTTGAGGAAATGTACAATTTGCGTTTTTGACCACCCTGTATGAGCAAAAATTAAAATTTGAAATAGTAATAAATAAGATAAAAGCTGAGGTGTAAGTTTTTTTTTGATACAAAATTAAGCACTCCAAATTTCAAAATGGCGGATTGAGGGGTTGCCAAAATGGAAGATAATTACCAAAACCCCATAGTATGTTATATTAATCTTCCTGTTTTGAATTGGTTTATCCAGACACGCAATAAAATGTGAGGCATTCCATTTAAAAAATCACAACTTTAATATGTAGGTCAAAATTGGGACACCCTGTAGAATTGCTAATATATTAGAAATGTACCCTCAAATGTCATGTATCACATGCCATAAATAGATTTTCTCAAAATGTATTTGTTTATGAGTAACATTCGGTCCACACAGGGATGGGCCACCCTGTATATATACCGGGTGTTCAAGAAAAATAGATGCTCTGTTTACTAACCGCGCACAATTTGATATAAAAAGTCACAAAAAACACTTAAAAAATATACATACGAATAAAAAGATAAAACCTAAAGCATATGCTCGAAGTGTCATCCATCCATCCTCTCGAAGACATGCTCCTATACTTTTCTGCCTATTGCGGAACACTTCACGTAAGACTGCCTGTGTTATTCCGTTAATATCATATCCTCTGTGATCCGCGCTTTTAGGACTGGGATTGAGGTGGGTGATGTCTGAAAAACCCTGTCTTTGTGGTAGCCCCAGAAATAAAAATCTGGAGGCGACAAATCAGGGCTACCTAGTGGCCACAATGGTCGCGAAATTGATGCGGTCTCCAAAAAATTCGCTTAGAAACTGCTTTGTCGAACCAGCGGTGTGAGCTCCATCTTGCTGAAACCGGCAATAACGTATCAAAATGGCGGACTGAGGGGTTGCCGAAGTGTTTTTTTTCTATACAAAACACCTTATATTTCAGTAGCTAATTACCAAAAGCCCATAGTATGTTACATCAATTTTCTTCTTTTGAATTGGTTAATCCAAATATGCAATAAAATTTGAGGCATTCCATTTAAAAAATCACAACTTTGATACGTAGGTCAATAATTGTAATTGCCAATATTTTAGAAATGCGCCCTCAAATGTCACGTATAACATGCCATAAATAGATTTTCCCAAAATGTATTTGTTTATGAGTAATATATATATATATATATATATATATATATAAATATCATATCGCATATGCAGGGCTTTTCTTTAATGTCCCCCTCCCCTTTGATTTTTTGAACGGTAGTATTTCCCATACAACTTTTTCAGGTTATGCGACATGTCATACTTGTAGTATTTGATCAATCTTTGTTTAAATGCGATTTTAATACTATACGATTTGAAACATCACGCTACTTTTAGGATCATTCATAATTTGGTACCATCCAGTTCATCAACTAATCCATGTAGCTTTAGAAAGCAGATATGACCCTCTATTAAGACAATGAGCGAACCTATATAGAAAAAAGTACAGCAATCTTTAACATGAAAAAGTAAACTAAAACAAGTAGATCATCGAGTTAAAAATATAATAGACGGCATGTTAATTATGAGATATTTAACATGTGACATTTATTTAATGTCATTCTTCATGTCTTAGCCCTGTTTGTTTATTATTGTTATTAAGGTTGGTACATTGATAGATGTCTATATTTATAGATTTGCAAATTCTGGTAAGACGATTTCCGGTTCGCAGTAAATAATTTACCAGTGCCTATCGTCAGCAGTATTAAAACCTGTTGAGGCGGCTATAGGCTAATTGCACTGTTTTTTATGAAAATAAAAAGATACTCTTTCACGCAAGATTTGCTAAATTGTATATTGCATATAAGTTTTCTTATATACTTATAACTTTTAATTTTGGAATACAAAGACACACTGGCACGAAATTCTCGATATGGTGCGATTTCTACATTTCAGTTAGTGCCAATGGTTTTGTCAAAATTGTATTTAAAAGTTAGATCTCAAAAGGCACTAATAGTTATTTATGCATTTATGGCGTAATGGTCTGAAAATTAAATATGGAGAAAAATTGAACGGTTGAATGAGCGGAACGTGCGGCACGCCCCAACAACGAATATGAAGCAATGTCTGTCCGTGGAGTTCGTGAGTTGAAAACTGAGATTTAACGTTCAAAAACCCTATCCACAAAGTATAATTTACCGCCCTATCGTAGATAATCAATGTTGATTGCGTAATCGACGTATGGATCTATTAGGGCTTGAACTTCCCACCCTTTGTTGTGAAATATAACATCATCATTTGAATAGTACCCGCTACCTTTACAGGGTGTTCCTTAATGATATGGGAATATTCACACCCTTAAATATTAGCATATCGTTAATGAACACCCTGTATCTGTAAATGCGATATGTTATCTATTTGTTATTCATGCTACTGACATCTACGTTACTCTAAAACCAACAGAAACCACTCGGGACGCACGAAACTAGTTCTCAAATTCTGCCATTTCATTGCATTGTAATATTATTAAGCTCTGTTTCAGTTTTGGTATCTTGTTGATATGCCCCGCGTTTTAATCCACAAGTTGGAACTACACAACCTTAATAGTTTATCTATTTCCAAGCGTATATTGACTAAGACATAAATCTGCGAAAAAATTAAATACTGATGTAACACTATTGATTGTGCAGGCTAGTTCAATTCTCTTACAAACTCTGGATATGTCGAATTAAATGTATTAATACATATAACATATTGCACTACTTTCCGTGAGCTCATCGCATCTAGACTAGGGCATAAAGTCTTTGGTTGCGCTTACCGATTTGTTAAATTGTATATTGCCTATATGATTTCTTATACACTTATAACCTTGAATTTTGGGATACAAAGACACACTGGCACGAAATTCTTCATATGGTGCGATTTTTTTTACACTTCTGTTACTGCCAATGGTTTCTAGTTGCAAAAATTTTATGTAAAAGTTATATGAAAAGGCAATACTAGTTATTTATGCATTTATGGCATTAATGTTTGAAAATTAAAAATATGAAGGGAAATTGAACGGTCGTGTCAGCGGAACTTGGGGCGCGCCCTAACAACGAATATGATGTAATGTCTGCCCGTAGAGTCCGTGGGATCCGCCTATCCACAAAGTACAATTTGGCGCCCGGTCGTAGATGAGTGATATTGATTGTGTACTAGGCGTATGGATCTATTAGGACTTGTACTTCGCACCGTTTGTTGTGAAATATAACCTGATCTTTTCAATAGTACGAGCCGGAATTATTTTTTAAAAGCTATTTATTTACAACTTTTTCACAAAGTAACCTTATCTCCTTCAAAATACTGTCCACTACAACTTGTCCCACCAGTGCTCCCACTGCTCGAAACATTTTTTTGAAGTCTTCCTTAGAAATATCTGACAGCTCCTCCATCGTTTTTTTCTTGACCTCTTCAATGTCGTCAAAGCGGTGTCCTTTCATGCCCCATTTCATCCGTGGAAATAAAAAAAGTCGCGCGGAGTCAGGTCAGGCGAATAAGGTGCGTGAGGCAGCGGAACCATGCCATTTTTAGCCAGAAACTGTCGAACAGAGATCGCTGTGCACAGGTGCATTATCGTGGTGGAAGAACCAGTCTCCTGACTGCCACAAATCGGGTCTTTTTTGCCGAACACTGTTTCGCAATCGTCTTAAAACCTCCAAATAGAGCGAGGTTTGTCATCAATCGACACGTCACTATGTTTAAATCAAACAAACCACTCGTACACCTGAGTTTTTCCCATAGCATCATCTTTGTAAGCTATTTTCAACATTAAACAGTTTCAGCAGCATTTTTACCAATCAGAAAGCAAAATTTCACAGCTGCACGTTGCTCACTGAAGCTTGCCATCGTAAAAAACGAAACAGGCATGAAACAGCTCTAGCAAAAATAATGACTACAGACGAACGAAACAATCCAGATTGACAACTCAGGTGGTACCGAACTGGTAATGAGTTGCGCTGAAGCCTCGAGGGGCAGAAATGAGTACTACACAAGCTCCGGTCACTGCAATCCTATTCCGATTATTTTTTGGTACCTCCTCGTATATGCGATATGTTATATATTCGTTATTTATGTCACTGTAATCTGCAAAGACCGTTGCTCTAAAACGAACTGAAACGACTGCAGATACGAAACTAGTTCTCAAATTCTGTCATTTCAGTACATTGTACTTTTAGCCCAATAAGTTATGCTCCAGTTTTGGTACCTTTTTATTATGCGCTGCTTTTAAACCACAAGTTGAAACCACACAACCTCAATAGTTTGTCTATTTTCAAGCGTATATTGACTTATGGCATAATAAATCTGCTACAATATTATTTACTGAAATAACTATTGATCATCCAGGCTAGTACAATGTTAATCCAAGCTGTCGATATGGCAAATTAAGTCTATGAGTACATATTGTAGTACTTTCCGTGAGCTCATCGCAACTAGGCTAGTGCATGAAGTCTTTGGTTGTGCTTACCGACGACGACGGTTGTCGTTAATCGGTAAGTTCCGATGAGAACCAGAATAGAAACCCAGTGATCGTTCTTAGGACCACTCTTAATACTCTTTCTTCATTCATGACGTTCTCCATCCCACTGTGAAGTCTATACCGACGACACCGCATTAGAAGCTCAGTCACGATCTAATGACATATTCCTCACCTCATATACATATTATACATAAAACAACTTTTCTTTCTTTTCTCGCTCCTACTTCCTTATTTCTCCCTCTCCCCTTTCCCGTACAACTTGTCTGGTTTCTGGGCCACTAGACCTGACAGGCTAACGACAGACACTAACATTCAGCGACTAAAACTTGAAGGCCAAGGTCCTCCGGGCACGCCTTGACAAACAACGGCGAGTAGTAGTGGATTTAAAATAATAGCCTGATGTGTCGAAATTGTTTCTATATGCACCCGTAAAGTGTCACCTTGGAACTGGCTATCGTTCACTTCATGTTCACTTGGACTATTTGTGCGTGTTGTCTAAACGACAAAACGACATGACACTTGAGCTATATGGTTTGGCTCTGATATCACATATGGTTCAGAGATGGCTAGCGTTGTTGCAGTCTTCGAAAGGTGCCGTTCACAGTGAGTGCGCGTAGAGAGGACAAGCGACTAGCTAGTACACAAGTCGACATTGTACCGATTTTTAATTACATAGATTTTTTACCTGTATCATAACATGGTGGGTTGGAATGTTTTTTTATATTTTGCAGATATTGAGAAGCTTATGGTTAGCTGGTATCAAATGTTTCTTGATAGAGAGTACGAACATCGAAGAAATACAAGAGCAGCTCATAGAACTGAAAGTTTCCCATGTGATTATCCTGAAAGAAAATGACCATGGCACTGTGCGAGTACGAAGTTGGGAGAGAGATAGGTAACAAAAAAGATGAAGTATATTATTGAAATATGCCTCTATGCCTCTGCGTGCACTTGCAGGTTCCAAGAAAAAACATTCAACACGACAGAACTTATAGAAAATATGCACAAAATTTTGAAAAATTGGAACGACATTGTTCAGGAAGGTAATAATACAGCCTTAGTGAAATCGGATAGTAGGGTCAGCAACAGCGAAAGATATGAGCAGGAAGTAAACGTATATGTCGATTATCTGTTTGTCACAGCAGAAAAATTGTCATCCAACGCTCGAAAAAGATATGAAAATCAGGTATGTTTTTATTCTCCTTATTAAAAGAAACCCAGCGATTATTCTGTGGAAATTTAAATAAATTGAATATGGTTTTACATACTTGTAAGTTAAAGACGGCGGACAAGAAATATAGTGCACAAAAGGTACACTTATTTTCCTTTCAACTGTTTGTTTAGTCACAATAGACGTTACACATTTTATTTTTCATTTTAGATTAGATCTCAGCTGGATGGGTTATTCAAGAAACTCAGGGGATATGTTGTAATTGTTGGACTATCTTTGGACCAAACAATAGTAAAGTGGCTCGCATCCTTTTTGGATTTCGACTCTGAATATAATTTCCAGAAGTCTGTGGAAACTGTTATAGAAAGGTAAGATTGAAATCACTGCAAAAATGCATGAACAATCTTATAAAGACTAATCATCGGGCATATATCATATCTTATAATTTGATGCTGTAGTCTACAGTTAGGTGATAAATAATGATGGTCAGTGACGGATGGGTTTGACAACATAACAAGAATTGGCGTCTTATAATTTAAGTGATTAATACAAATTCGCTTGGCGCGATAACTGTAAGCTTCAAAGTTGTTAACCGATAATTTTATCTTTTCCAGGCACCCAAGACATAAAAAGTACCTAAATGATATTTGTGATGAAATATACAAGCAGAAGATAAGCCGGACAGATCCAACTTTAGTTTTATATAGTTTATGTGATTACTGTTATAAAGTGGTTCTGTAATATATTTTGTGATTTTCGATAAGGCCTTCAGATTCAGTTCCAGCTGCTGCTTCTGGTGTTTTTTGGAATAAAAACTGTCAAAATCGGTTTCAGTAGAATGATTAAGATAGACCCGATTTTCAATCGCAACTCAACATTCAAGTCAAATAAGTTTATCCCAGAAGTTAACTGTCAGTTACCCGTGAGTTTGTTCTTCATGTTTTAACCAAACATGATACTTTCGTCTGTTCGACCAAAAAGACAGCCAACCGTGGACAACTGTTTCATGCTTGTTGGCTACTCATCAGCATGGTCCAGACTTGGTTTTTTGTCTCTGGACGAACAAACGAAAGCGTCTCAATTATCCTCTATACTGGAAGTATATCTTGAATGGGAGTTGATGTCGCCGAGGTTGCTCAATAAACTTGCGAAGTTAATTTTACCACGCTATATTCTTTGATTCTTCAGACGACATACTACTCCTATACTACCATTTGGGATGTTTGCCCAATAAGCTTGCGAAACTAATTTACCAGACTATATTCTCTAATCCTCCCGACGACACCGACTATACTCTGGTTCGTGGTGAAATATATACATTTGAGTTGAATGACAAATAAACTTGAGAAGTTGATTTCACCCCGCTAAATTTTTATTTACTGAAAATCAAATATTACTAACGTCGTAATGTGTACGAGAGAGAAGCGTGCAATACATGTGTTAGAAGAGATAGAAACACCTCGTTGCCTAGCAACCCGAGCACTGTTTCTAACATACGTATTGGACGCTTCTCGCACTTCTCTCTCGTACACACTACGACGTCAGCCATATTTGAACCTTACTTTATACTACTCCAAGTTGTTTGTCCAAAATAAGCTTCCAAGGGTTGTTGGAAGGTACTGGAATACGCTCGTCTACACGTCATCTACACCTAAATTTAGTGTCGTGTTGGACCGCGTTGGGTTAAGTTCGGTGCTAATGTCGAGCGACGAGGACGATTCACTGGTGGCGAGTTCAGGGTTTTTAATAATACATTCTGTAATATCCAAGAAAAAGAAGAAACGGCCTAGACGTTGTGGGTAACAAAACCATTTAAAAATAGGGCCTTGTATAGTGGCAGTCACTTACTAGAGGAACTTCAAAGTGAAGATGGTGGGCATTTTAAAAATTTATGTACGATGACCCCAGAAATTTTTAATACATTATTTCTTGTGAAACCAAAAATTGAAGGGAATACAAACTATAGAAGTGCTATTCCAGATAAAGAGAGGCTTGCTGTTACACTGCATTTTTTGGCAACTAGAAATTCAAAATTTCAAAACAGTCTATAGTATTGTATTGTTCGTGAAGTGTGTATGGCTATAATTGAAGAATTACAAGAATATATGAAGCAATCAATTTTGTAACAGGTGTAGTCCAAATATTAAATTGCTGCTGATTATGTTGATGGCTACCATAGTGAGTATCTGGCGATGGCACGTCACTAGGGGTTGAAGAGTTACTCGATTGTAAGGTTGTTTGCAATTTGTATTTTCCCATCTCAGCTTGAAAAAGGATATTTGCAAATTCGTGCTTTACAACAGCACGGGTATGCTCGTCAAATTTTTCTAGCTGACTGCCGACATATATTCTCCGTATAATGTACATTCGTTTTTTTCATTTTTCCTTGTTTTTTTTTCACCAATATTTTGTATTACAGCAAAAGCTGCTTCAAGGCGGGGGTCGTCTGGATCACGTCTTTTAGCTGCTACTTTGTTGAACAAAACAGAAGGTTTAGACTTAGTTTCAGTTGATAGGTTACGGTGTGGAACTACCTTCACGATTTGGAACTGCTGGTTTGATGCTATCTTGCTGAATAGTAGCCTCGTCATCCTCGTTTACTTGTCGTTCTGTTGATGCGTTCAATTCGTCATCCTGAGTTTCACCGGCATAACCATACTCCTATAAGAAAAAGTAATATAAGTTTACCTCCAACTTACAATATTCATTCAAATAAATAGCTATTTCTAATTAAATTAATTACATATCTAATTTTACAATCAGCAATAACTGAAAATCCTCTATTTTTATCATTTAAAAAATTATACAAAGTTTGTGTATACTGTAGTGAAGTTTTTTTTCGGTGCCGTGAATTACATACTTTCTGACTTCCCCTCGTATTCACGTTTTATCGACGAAGTAAAATTTTTGATTAATTACTAATTGCCCTTCCGTTATTCTAAGTTAGTGCTAGTGCCCAGTTGTAAATATTTTGTTGTCACCGATATAGAGTCTCAAATCCTCAAGCAAACCTGATGTTTTTATGACATTCCACAGTCATTTTTGTTGCCATGTGTTACACATAGAAATAGATATTTTGCGTTTTCCGAATTAGAATTTATTATAATGAATGAAATGAAATGATTTAAATCAAATTTTAAGCCTTGATGTAGCACAAGACGATATTCATGACGTCAGGAGTGCGTCCTGAGGCAGTACTAATATGTTCATGGATTTGCAGGGGAAAAACAACACGCCAATAGACACGTGGTGCCCTTATATCGATTGAAAAGTCATTATTCAAATCTTAATGCCATGGAGGAATTGTCACACAACCCTCCTGGTGTTGAGGACCCTGTAAGGTCCCTAATAGTGTGCAAAAATGCCACTAAGATCCCTTTCAGTTCTATTTCTGATTTTAAATGCAAATGAGATGCCCTACGGGTGTGGGAACTCATTTTATGGGATATATGAAATCCAAGCGAGAACGAGACAAACAGCTTGAAGTAGACGCGAGTAAAATAAACGCCTGGCCTTATCCTTCACCCGAACGTATCCATATTGCTGTAAACCGTCCATCGCTTGCTAACTTGACCGCATACTGCTTTCGCTTCAACCGTTGCTTTTTACCCGATTTTGATTCCGTTCGACCCCGAGCTAACCGATTATCCCCCATCTCTGCTCTATTGCTAGGGTAGATAGATTTAGATAGGGATTTATCTCATTTGTACATGTATCTTGAGATACTCCGACCGTGTATGAAGTGTATATATTTGCTGTTAATATACCAGTTTGCATTATAAGACTTGCTTTTAATCACAAACACCGTCCTGCCTGAAGTAAGGTATACAAAAGGAGAAGTGGTAAGTAAAGATTAAATATCTCGAGTTTGACCCTGTGAGTGTGAGGCATCAAATCCCTGAATTATTTTCTTCACTGGAGCTGCCCCGGGTGACTAAGCCTATAGTGCTGTCCCCATACTTTAAACAGGCGCCCGAGAAATTGCTAAACCAGAGAGGCAGGTAGTTCGCCAGTTGGTGACCCCGAGGAAACAGCCTTACAATACGTATACATATACAACTACTAGAATTTGTAACACCCTGTATTAAAATGGACTGGCTGAATGTTGCCCAACAGTACGAAGAAAACTGGGACTTTCCGCATTGTATCGGCGCCATGGATGGCAAACATACAGCTGCAAGCCCCAATTAATAGTGGCAGCATTTTTTTAATTATAAGTCAACATTCAGCATTGTTCTGCTTGCCCTTGTAAGATGCTGACTATAATTTTTTTATATGCGAATGTTGGATGTCAGGGAAGACTTTCGGACGGGTGTGTTTTTAGAAATACATCTCTATTCTATAATGGGTGATTCAAATTGAGTTTCCATATTACAAATATTTTTTTTTTGAAACGCCACTGAATTTGTCAACGACAACGTGCCACTTCTAACGTCAAAATATAAACAAAACAGTCATGGAGCACAATATACGACCGAACAACGTGTTAAAATTATCCAAGCCTATAATGAAAAGGAAGAATACATTTCGTGCTTTACGTGAGTTTTTTGGCGCACAAAATCGGCCTTGTGAGAGGACAATTTGGAATTTGGTGCAAAAATTCGAGCAAACTGGATCCGTCGCTAACGTCAAAACCCCTAGGCATGCTCATAGAGGTCGGTCGGAGCACAATATTGCTATTGTTGCCGAAAGTGTGGCCGAAAATCCAAGAACATCGATTCGTCATCGATCGCAGCAACTGGACCTTACTACACAGCGGATTTTAACAAAAGATTTGAAGTTACATCCATACAGAGTCCAAATAACACATGAATTGAAGCCTAGGTCACACAACAGGACAAATGATACAATTACTGCGCGGCAAGTTTCCAGGTAGCGTTATTTCACGTAACGGCGATATCAATTGGCCGCCGCGATCCTGTGATTTAACTCCTTTAGATTATTTTCTTTGGGGGTATCTCAAGGGCAAAGTCTACAAGAATAACTCGAACACAATTGAGGAGCTGAAACAGAAGATGAGACGCGAAATTACCAATATAAGACGTGATTTGTGCCACAGAGCAGTCGAAAATTTCTCGAAACGAATTACGTCATGCCACATGAGCCGCGGCGGTCATTTACTTGATATCATCTTTCATGCATAATTGTAATGAACTACCCTGAACGGACAAATACTTATTTTGTTATAATTTTCAATTTCTTCTTTTTTTTTAAATACTTTTAATGTGGAAACCCAATTTGAATCACCCTATATAACTTGAGCAAAATGCTTTGAATTTACCAAATCCAAATAATTTACTGGGAAGAAATAAGCCAGTTCCGTACGTTTTTGTTACGGATGATGCGTTCCCTTTAAAGAATAATATTATGAAACCTTATCCACGATCACATGAAAACGGGTCTGTTAAACGCATTTTTAATTATATACTAAGTGACATATAAATCCGAACACCCAGTTTAAATGGTGTTATTTTAATAAAAGTTGGTGAATGTATTTATCTTACTGTAAATAACAAGTGAAAATTTTTTCAGCCTTATCAGTTGGACATTCCGGTTTTTATACTGCTTTTTTTTAATTCACTAACGCTCTAAAAATGAATATTTCAGCCGCAGTAAAGAATCAACGTTGGCGGATTTTGGTTCTTGACATCCTTTACGATCGGTTATGATGCCTAGAGTACGGAGACCTGTACGATTTCGTCAACTTAGTGAGTTTGATAGGAGCCGTATAGAGGGACTTCGGGAAGCTGGACTTTCTTTTCGGGCAATTGCAGTTAGAGTGCAAAGAAGTGTAGACACTGTGGTTAGGTGTTGTCAGGCATGGCTTCGAGAAGGCCATACGCAAAGAGCAAGGGGCACTGGACGCCGCCGTAGAACAACAGATCGTGAAGATCGCCGCCTAAGATTATTGGCCTTAAGGGACCGTTTCTCCACTACCAGGTCCATTGCAAATGAATGGTTTGCAGAACACGGAAGACCTATTGGCATGCGAAGTGTTTACCGACGAATGAGAAGTTTTGGCTTGTTTTCATACCGGCCACACTGGGTCCTCCCTTTAACTCGAGAACACCGACGTAATCGCCTTGAGTGGTGCAGACAACGGTCACTCTGGGATCAGGAATGGAACAGTATTGTCTTTAGTGACGAGTCTCGATTTTGTTTAGGCATGCACGATGGTCGTGCCAGGGTTAGAAGGCGACGTGGTGAAAGGACGAATCCACAGTTTTTTGTTGAAAGACATGTTCATCACACTGTTGGAGTTATGGTTTGGGGTGCTATAGCTTATGGTTCCAGGTCACCTTTAATCTTCATCAGAGGTAACATGAACGCGCAGCGTTATATTCACGAAGTTCTAGAACCCCATCTTTTACCCTATCTTGACACCCTGGCAGATCCAACTTTCCAACAAGATAATGCCCGACCACATGTTGCAAGAGTCACAATAGACTTCTTTCAACATAATGATGTCACATTTTTACCATGGCCACCAAGATCTCCCGACTTATCCCCAATTGAGCACGTGTGGGATATGATGGGTAGGAGATTGCTCAATTTGCAACGTCCTCCTCAGACTCTAGAAGCACTTCGAGAGGAGTTGGTGGTTGCCTGGAATGAGATACCACAGGAGGACATTGACCACCTGATCAGAAGCATGCCTAGGCGCGTTGGAGAATGCGTAGCACATCAGGGTGCATCCACACATTATTAAAGGTCAAAGGGCTTTAAAGCAGTGAAAATTTTTATCATTTACTTATTATGCTTCATTAAGTACTTATACAAAATTTTATTAAAATAAAACCATTTAAACTGGGTGTTCGGATTTATATGCACTTAGTATAGATTATCAAGAGTAAGAATAGTTGAGAATATGTTTGGAATTGTATCCTCAGTTTTCAGAGTACTAAGAAAACCATTGCTTTTAGAGCCAGAAAAACAGATATTGTTGAAATCGCATGCATTTATTTGCACAATTTTCTTAGAAAGAACCAGTCTTCAGAACATGGTTGCACACCAGATGGAACTTTTGACACTGTAGTAAACGGACAACTATTGGAAGGATCCTGGAGGTATCAATTGGGTGAAAGCACCTTAGCCTCAATCCCTAAAGTTAGAAAATCTGCTGCGAGTGCAGAAGAAATTCGAAAGGAATTTGCAGGCACTTGATGAACGTGTATCCTGGCAAGAAAGCTATGCTTAATGTTTTCCATTTTAGTATCTAAGTATTTAATGTGACATTAAAACACCTACATGTATTGAAATATTGAAACAAATGTACAAGTTTAATATTATAATAAATAACATAAAATGTAATAATTATAGTCAATTTGTAATTTTGAATACCCATAATAAAATCACAATGTCTACTTACATTTTCTGTGCTCTGCGTCTTTCTCGGACGAATAAGCTTATCATTCAAAAACTGCATAGGTTTAAAGGCAAACCATTTACGTGTCTTCTGCGCCCATTCCGGAATGCACGCTCCCTTCACGTCACATTTTACGGCGATATGAAGTTAAAACAAGCTCTCTACTTTCTTTTTCACTTCACTTTCTTCACATTTAAATTCTGCCCCGATAGTATTCCATATATCTATTTTCTTCTTTGACAAATCTATAACCACGTGTGCCTTAGCTTGCGTTAGAATCACCGTCCGCAAAGAATGGGTACACCCATTTTTGTGGGAAAACTTTTTATTCGACAACAAAGATTGAGTAAACCCGTTTTTTCGGATTCAGTCGAAAGTGTTGGCAGGAACAAAACAACGCTTCAGCGGAAATGGATAAAGCAGTAGCAGCAGCTGCCTATACTTTTTTACTTACTGATCTATTGGTATATAATTGCGTTTGCTACCATCGTCTCGGACGTCGTCGTCGCTTGTTTTTTGATAATTCGTAGTGAATATAAATACTTTGAAGTTGAGTCATTAATTTTCAGATAATGATTGTAAAAGGAAGATAAACCAAAATATGTGTGTAAAAATAAAAAAAAAAATTACCTTGTTTTATAAAGTATCCTCCCGACAAGTATTTCAGTGCGGACCTGTATTTGATCGTGAGGTCTTCGAGCACCGGCATGCCGTCCATATGTGAGGTCTTAAGTCACCTGATTCACGAACCCGTTGTACTACATTAACAAAGACACGAGGGATTGGTTGCACTCGATTGGGAAACCGATCCGCATAAACATGTGCCATTTTTTATTTCGTTTGAGCCACGCAGCAAACACCACTATTCACTCACGCGTTACCGACTGACACATTGACTGGATAAAAACATCGTGATCAGCGTTTCAAATTCTTTCGCTTTTTTGTTTCCGATGCGATGAACCGATAATGCGGATTATATCCGTTGTTGCCAAACACGAGCACATATTATTATTGAGACAGGGCGGTACTCAAACTTCTAAAGGGCTATAACTTTGTTACTTTAATTTTACCACAAAAATGTTAAAGGAAAAAACATTTCTTTTGATCAGATCTACTTACTGTTAAAATAAATGACTCAACTTCGAAGTCACCCTGTATTTATATTCACTACGAATTATCAAAAAACAAGCGACGACGACGTCCGAGACGATGGTAGCAAACGCAACTATATACCAATAGATCAGCACACGGTTACAATTTGATAGCGGAGTTGAAATTTCAATAAGTGGACAGTACAAAAATTTTACGAGGATGTCTCCTCTTTGAATATCTTCTCACGTTAATTGGACCAAAAATACGAAAACAAGATAGAAAATGGAGAGCTGCCATCACAGTACAAGAAATACTTGCAGTCACGGTGCGATTTTTAGCGACCGGTGATTTATACAGTAGTTTGCAATACATGTTTCGAATTTCAAAGCAGTCGATCAGCTACATCATTCCAGAAGTTTGTGGGAGATCGAAGTTTTAAAGGAAAATATTCAAGTAAGAAAAATAATTCTTTTACTTCTAAGTACATTAAATAACTCATTGGTGCTCGCCGCACTCGTATGCCTGTCCAAACATGTGCAACTTCGTCGTGAGCCATTCCTTTGATGTTGCGTTGAAAAACCGACAGATCCTGGATCGGGCCGAACGGCGAGCTGTAACGCTAATCAGGTTCGCGACGGCGTTCTTTTCACCGTCCGAAAACAGAGGCAAAATGCAGGTTTTGACACTATATTTGACGATTTCACGCAGCTACTGAACTTCAAATCCGTAGGCTTCATATTTCTAAATACCCACAACAAAATTCGGTAACTTGGTCAAGCAGTTTTTCATAATTGCTACTTGTTTATCCTAAAACACCTATATTCTGGCCAACACTGCTAGTTTACTGAGCAATATACAGGGTTCGTTCAAAGGGCATTATATAGCAAAATACACGAATTTACCTTGCCGACGTGAATTACAAACCATTCCGAAAGATAATTGTTATTTTTATGCGAAAAACGAAGGGTTGGCTTTTTTCTACTAAACAAATCCAAACATTTCGTATATGTGAGTAACTGAACAGATTCGCTACGATATTCGAATAACATACGTTATTATACACATTTTAAAACAAAGCGGATGTGTCTCACCTTTTAATTTTGTTATGAAGAAAACAATTTTTTGTGTATATGTTGGCCCGTGGCCGATATAATTTGACATATCGCCATATGTCCATACCACGCATGCCAGAAGCCGAAATTCGTCATCTGACTATCTTAATCAAGCCATGTCGCGAAGTGTGCATTTCTTTAATACGCCGTTGCCGATTACATCACAAATAAACAACCTAACCTCAAATTACTGTAGTAAAGCGCTGCAGTTTGCTTGTCAGTGGGTGGAACTAAATGAGAATATTTACAAAATGATGCAGAAAAAATATAAAGCAGAAATTTACAATAAACATATAATGAAAGTCAAATGCTAGAAATATTAAGGTCCAAGTACAAATATCCACAATTCAGTATTGTTGAGATACTGACAAAATTTATATCACAAAGAGCCGAAATTGAATTAAAATTTTCACCCTAAGTTATGGACATATGACAATATGTCCAATTATATCGGCCCGTGGCCGAATTCGCCGTCTATCTCCGACATATACATATTTAGAACTGGAATGTTTACACGGTCACAGATGAGTCTTAAAGTTTATAAAGTTAGCACGCGAACTGGAGACATAATTATGTTTCAAACTGTATTAGACTAGTTGATATGTAGCATGTTCAAGATGGCTGGATGACTTTGTCCGTAATCCAGTTTCTTTACGAAGAAATATAATTCCCTAGACTTTTTTCTTAAAGAATTAATATAGTATGTCTTTTTTCGAAATCTCGTTCGATTATAACGACTGCGAGTTCAAAATGTTAGAAAATAAACTCGAAAAAACAGTAGACAAATATCAACAAATTGTAGCGACTGGCCGTCTTAAAAATTAGGCAAAATGCTCGTTATCAGTCACTAATACGTTATTTCAAGATTCAGCATTGTATCTTGTATGGTTTTCAAGAGGACTGTAATTGTTTATAACAGATTTGATGTGCTTCCAATGTTCACTTGATATTTGTGAGTGTCAAGTATAGTGGTATAAGGATTCAGTAAACCAAGAGGCGTCTTAGCGTAATGGGAAGGGTTGACGATTGCAGAACTGCAGAACGGAGGTTCGAATCCACGAAGCTTTTTTCTAAATAATTTTTTAAAATGGAGAAATAAATGCTTTTTCACATTATGTGAGAGAGACTTATTGGTAAAATGTCTCTATTCACCTTTCGCTATTGAAAGCTTGTACTGCACTACAAGTCAATTACCTCAAGTTAGTGCAGTGTTAAGCAGCATTATGATTAGCAGCTGTGGTTAATAAATACAAAATGTCAATGAAGCTCATCGTTTTCTTACTAAAGAAAAAGCAATATAATTTTAATATTTACCCCTATACCCCCAAAAATAACTAATCCCTATTGTGGCATACAAAGTTTACTATTGAAAATATACACAAAAAAACAATATTTAAAAATAGATTGACATTGATGAAACATTAAGACCTGTTAAATGTAGAATTAAAGAACATAAAGGGAGAAACCTCAAAATCAGAACTAAGCAACAGGACGGGTAGGAAGCCTCAATTCGACACAAAGAGGATAGTAACGCTAAGAGATAAACACGGGGGATTAATGAATGATTTATTCGCCTCCTTAAATATTGACATTCAAATAAGAAACACCATGTATACTTGCGAAGTGAGAAACATCAGACTATATTCTTTAATCCCTTTAGAGGTGTTTCATTTAATAATCTTGCTAAGTTGATAAATCATATATGAACTGAAGAAATGTAGTATCAAGGAAAAGAAGAAATATGAATTTTACATTTATTGGACTTACACAATACATCTTAAATCATATAAAACACAATGTATACACAATTTTTCATCCACCCATCTAAATGCGGTTTGCTCAGTAACCTCCATAACCACCTCCATATCCACCCCACTGATTATACCCTCCATACCCTCCATGAGGGTACTGCCAGTTTTGGTACTGGTACTGGTCTCCACCTTGCCCATACTGTCCGTAGTTATACTGTCCTTGGCCCTGTCCGGAATAAGGGTATGCCGGCTGATTACTTCCAGGTCCGTAGCCACTGTAGTTGGTGTAAGAACTTGTCGGGTTCGTCGAAGGCGTTGTACTGCTTTTTTCTTTTTTTGTGGAACTAGATGATTCGCTATTGGAGCAGATCAAATTCCATTAGTTAGGGATCAAACAGAGAAATTTAGCTTTGGTTAAAGGCAAGAATGCATAATTACAAGTTGAACTGACTTCGAATTGAAAAAAAATAACAAACGCGTCGCTTTACTGAAATTAAAAGACTATTTTTCGCTAAAAAGAAAATAATTAGGCTCATTTGTAGTTTAAACTATAATGATTCATGCTGGCCAACTTATAAAAAACACGGAATTCTAACACTTTCATCAATTTACATATTAAAATGTGTAACATTTGTGAAAAGCAACACTGATGGTTTTACTCTTTTTGAAAGTAACCTCAACTATACAACTTACAAGTACGCTTTCAAGTTTTCCTAAGCATAAAACAATAGCATATGAAGGATCTGAGCTTTTTATTCTGTTCAAGAATTTTTTTCTTACAAATTTTAAATTATTCATTATATCATGTGCAGGTCTTGCTTCTTTTTATTTTAATGTTTAATATGTCTTATATATCAATCATTTTTTCCTTCTTTGACTTGTCATAAGTATTAATTTACTAAAATGTGATCAATAAATATCTTCGTAAAGTAAATGGAACCGGTTGTAGTTTCACACGTGCCGAGTAACTGCAACCGGTAGCCGGTCGGTGCAAATACAGCCCTTAACATTTCTTTTCAAAACTGATGTCGTCACATCAGCAAAATATCCGTCTGTAGCAGAAATTGGCAATCAAAAACGTTTTATTGATCATGTTTACACTGTG